CCGGCCCTTCTCCGGCGCGGGGTATCCTCACTTCGGTGTCGTCTTTCATGAGGTCTCTGTGAACCAATCTTAAGTCTGGCCACTTGGCCTGAGACCAATTTGCCAATGGGAAGACCCTACCAGGAACAGCAAGGTCCAGACAAACACAGCGCCCCCAGGTTCATCAGGGGCACACAAAACCTCTCCTACCAACGGAGGTGCTGGTGTCTTCAGAGAGGGCGAATGAAACAGTTTTTGTAAATGTAATAATATGTCGATGTCAAATTAATGAGCAAAATAAAGAAAAATTTGGCGCTGGTAATATCAATATCGCATAAGTTTGGTTGTGCTTATACAAACTACACATACATTTCAAAAAACTTTCATGATACCAAAATTGTTAAGAACTGAGACACGTAACCATTGGGCTAACCGACATCTTGCTTCATGGTAAGGCTCATGCGAAGTCTTGAGGCACTCTTCGCAATTCGTGTCTCTGGGCAGCATGCACTCCTTTTGTGGGCGAGATAGCCGCGCTTCATTCATCTTCTTCCATATGTAGGTCCTGTCAAAAAAAATTATAATACCCGAACCTAAGAAAAAATACACACACTGACTTTTTCATTCGTCAGATCATACAGCAAGATACGTTTATCATGAAAATAAAAACAACACACCACACACAGCACACCAACACACCACACACACACACACACCCACACACAGCACACACAGCACACACACACACACACCACCACACACCACAACAGCACAGCAAACACACAGCACACCACCACACCGCACACCACATATCAAAGTAGGAAGTTTCAAATACCTCGCGTAATGGCGTTAGCCAGCCTCCAACTCCATGAGTGTCTATAGCCCCATCAAGCTTTGAAGGCCGCATTGGCGAGCGCAGAAGTCCCTCACATTTCTTGGGCAGAAAATCTCTTCCTCCTCCACTTCCGTCCGGCACACACACTACTGCGTGCTAATGTCTGCAGATGGCAAAACCCTGTTTGCCATAATTCTAAATGCATGCGCACTCAGAGTAGCAGGTTGCAAAGACAATTTTTGCCTGCGACTGGGAGGACCGCTGGTAAACCTTTGCGCTTTTGGCAGAAACAGAGGAAGATGGCACATGCAGTCACCGTGAGCTCGCTCTTCCAGTTTCAATGCGTTCGCCTTTAAAATATGCATTGTTTGTCGCGGCGGGCTGATTGACCACGGAACCCCGATTCAGCGGTCGATCTGAGGAGCCGTACTGAATGCTGCGCGCTTATTTTGTAAGACAAACTTCCCGTAGCAGAACATGAAAAACTGGTAGTTTTTTGTTTCTGTTTTCTAGTGATTTTATTTTTTGTTTTGAGAAGTAGAAAATGAAAATCATCCCGTTTTTTAAGTTTAGTAAATCCATTTTTGACCATGATAAAGGAAAACGCCTTGTATTTCAATTTTGGTTTTTCAATTTGTCGTTTTTTGTTTTTGAATATCCTTTTGTGAAAAGAAAATCCAATGACCAAAACATACACTGACCGATTTGAATGTAACCTGAGTTTTGCTGCTTATACGAAAACCTGTGATACCTTACAATACAAAATAAGTTGTTCTTACTCTATGCAGAACCTTTAGTTTGCAGTTGTCTGTTAATAAATAATAATTAAACCCCAGCTGAATAATGACCGGTAAATAATACCAACATTAAAAAAACAGCTGCTGTAATTTGCCAGAGGCTACAATGAGTTTTATTATGAGGAAGGAGTGAACATATCTTATTACCACCCTCCAACTGTTACATTAATCCTGCATGTCTGAATGTGGCTTTAAGATACATTAGTGTTACATGTTGCCTTATCCTAAACAACTATCAAGAAAGTCAAACACACATGTATGTCTAAAGAATTAAATACAAGTAACAAAACTGTGGTTGAAATCAAGCAAAATAAAAAAAAACAAGTTTCTTCAGTGCCAACTTTTCAGCTGAGAAAAAGTATTGAGATTTTTGAAACCTTCCAAATTGTTTGTTTTCATTTCTCAAAATCGCCATTAAAATAAATCAGCTAACAGTTTATTTAAGCAGTGTGTGTACAAAGGGATCTGCCAGGAGACAGTTTGCACACACAGTCCTGACGTGTGTTACCTGCATCTGGTTAACGCAGAGTATTCATATAGAGAGGAGGGATGAGCAGAGTCTTACTACCACCACAACACAAAGGCTTTAGAGATATAGTATCCATCAGAAGAAGAGTAATGAGGCTCGATCCGTTTCCCTGACGAGGGAACAGATCTTGAAGCAGATAACTAACGTGGATGAACTGTGTATTTATGGTAAGAGTTAACTTCACCTCCATGCTCGTTTAGTAAGAAGAAAGAGACAAAGAAAAAGAAAGAGAAATGTTGTGTAACTCACGGAGCAGGTTCTGCTGCATGGAGTCGGACCGGTACAAACTGACTGTGCTCTTCTTGAAAACGTTCTTCAGGAGCTGGGCCCTCTCCGTCAAACTACACACACACACACACACACACACAGAGAAATGGGCAGTGTTAGCAGCATGCTGAGCACCACAGGCAGATTTAATGAGCCATACGTCCAGCCTGTCCAGCACCTCCAGAGTGGATGGACCTGCCAACCGCTCTACCTGCTGGTACACTCGCCATGTGAGGCCGAAACAACTCTTCAGAACAAAGCGTGTGTGTAGGTGATATATTGGAAACAGCACGTTGGCCAGAAGGCATTCAAGTAACACCAATAAATTGTGTATATGAGTCCACATCAGTTTATGTGCAAAATGTGCAAAATCATCCATGTTTCTGTGGGTTTGTAGCGCCACATGTCTGTTTCTGTAAGTGTGTGTGAGTGTGAGTGTGAGTGTGAGTGTGAGTGTGTGTGTGTGTGTGTGTGTGTGTGTGTGTGTGTGTGTGTGTGCGCGCCTGCTGGGTCTGGGACAGTGGCCAGACTCGGATCACTTTCAGCGAGCAGGAGATCTCACACTGATCTGCTCCATGCTGATTCCTGCTGCAGGCATCGGGCCCCAGAGAGCAGAGCAGACCCGGTTCAACTAATCGTTTAAAAAATATATATATATGGATTTAATATAAAAGCTCTAAAATGATACATCCACTATTTGGAAGAAAAAACCCGGGGATATCTTCTCATCTGTCATGATTACTGACATTACAGTCAAACTGCTGCAATTTAGCAGCAATTTGAAGATGTATCTTTTCACAGAGGAATATCGTTGGCAGTGGAGTTCTGAGTATTTTGAGTAATCAGGGAGGTTACTATTCTTCCTCCAAGTTATTCTTGAGAATTTGCCAAAGATGCTTCATATTTTTTGGACTTAAATAACAATGGACAGGGCATCGACTCTGTAGCCGTGTGATGATTTTCACAGTGAGAGAGTTTACTTTGTAGCTCTCCCATTTCATGTCTCCACTATGACGGCATTGTGGGAAATGTTTTTAATCTGTGTTTTTGGGAATATACAGTATGCATTCTTTGCATCAATATTATACAGTATATAAGGGGAGGCGTGTGGTGCAGTGGGCTGTGCGTTGGTGTTCGGATCAGGGGGTCACAGGTTCAAACCCCACTGCAGTCAGCATGTCGTTGTGTCCCTGAGACACTTCACCCCAAAGTGCTCCTGTGGGGATTGTCCACAGTGTTGAGTATGTAAGTTGCTTTGGATAAAAGCGTCTAACAAGTGACATGTAATGTAATGTATATTCATTTGTCATCTATTTATTGACATTACGTTTCTTTAGGTAATATCATCCAAAACAATATTATATATCAATAATAACAAATATGTTTTTGTTTATAACTCCTCGTTGTGTAGTATGGTGTTTCTGTTTTGACTATTATGTTCTTGAGAATGTTCCTTGTTCTCATGTCTCTATTGGAAAAGACATCTTAATCTCAATGAGACTGTCTGATCAAATAAATATAATTTTAAATACATTTACAAAATAATATATTGTGAAAGTCCTACTTAAACGTATTTATTTCCAATATATATATTTAAAACAGGAAATAAGGATGACAAACTCATAATTCAGAGAATAAATGACTTTTTGTTTTCTACCTTCATGTTGTTGTAATTGTCTTCTACGCTCTATCAAACAGAAATCGTTTTTCGTCCGCATACAGACATAACATTATATCAATAAATCTAAAACCCTGGAACAAAGAGTGGTATCGTGATGTGTAACTGTACCTCTTTCCATGCACCACAGCTCCAGGGTCTTTGGACAAAGCTTCAAGCTCCTGCACCTCGTCCACCAGGGTCTTGAAACACACCTTCTTCACCCTGTTTATTAAACAATAGTGGAGTCAAATTCATTAATTTGACAGACAGTTCAACAGGATCAAACCTACATAGACTGACCCCACTGACTGATTCAAAAAGCTTTCAGAGCATCAGGGAATACAACTCTTAGCTTTGAAAATGGCTCCTGACATCTTAAATCTTCTGTGCGCTGATTTCAACCAGACACAGACATTTCCCATGGAGTATTTAGAGAAGCTAGACTTCCAACATCTTAGAGCAGGATTTTTCAAAAGGGGAGATAGGAGAGATTCTGGAGGAATTTCCGGTAAAGGATGTGTATTGGAGTGATGAGCGAGGAGAGCGCGGAGAACACTCACACTTTGTAGGCCACGTCAAAGACCAGCGAGGTGATTGGGATGAAGACCAGGCCCGTCCAGAAGACCCCCGAACTGAACATCATCTCCGCCTGACACACACACACACACACACACACACACACACACACACACACACACACACACACACACACACACACACACACACACACACACACACACACACACACACACACACACACACACACACACACAGGTAAAGGCAGACAATGCAGAGTTCAACACCTGATCAGATGACATGAAGAGCCCTTTAGAAGAAGACACACTTGATAAAGGACAGCTGTTACTGCCCTCTGTAGTGCCACATCATTTAAAACATACATGACAAAGGCAGCCCAAAACAAACAGTTATGTTGTGGAAATAAGGTGAAGATGGGCCTAAATATCTTGCTCATAGTGGGTTAAGCCCCCTTGACTAAATGATAGCATGTTTGTGTATGGACCTCCTCCTCACTGCTCCAGGGCAGAGGAAGTACCTGTGAAGTTTTTCCACACTGGTGTCTCGTTCACAGGAAAACAGATCAACTGTTTGTTGTGTTGAGAGCTGCTGTCAGTAACAACAGGAGACTCAGGGCTGGGATCTGAGCTGCTTTTAATGATACTTTTAATACAAAAGCCATCCACTGTATTTATGAACTGTAATGATATAAGTTTAAAAGGTGCAGGTTATTTTTATAATGTTTGTAGAGAATATCCACCGGAAGCCCAAAACGCATCATATCTGAAAACCATTAGCTAGTTGGCGAAGTATTTTGTGGTTGCTTTAAAATAAATACAAAAGCTCCATAGAGGAAAATCAAATGATAGGTAATTGCGATTGCGATGAAAATCAATTCTCAATGGTAGCTTTTCTAAAAAACTAAATGTATAACTAATTTGGAACTTATTTGCTATTTGCTATAACGTGACTCTTTAAATAAGGCTTGTTAAATTATGAACATGACCCCTGTTTCTTTGTTGACTACAGACTAATTGTTTGTCAATCAACAGAAAAGTAACCTGCAACTATTTAAAAAACCAAGTAAGTAATTTGGTATAATTGCATTGTGTTAATTAGCACATTTTTAGCATTTTAACACATTCACCTAAGATAGGAAACACCGTAAACATAATATGTGTTTAACATCAACATAATTAGCATAGTAGCATGCTAATGTTAGCATTTAGGATCATTATGCATGCGTTGGCTCGACAGAGAGTCTTGTTTCCTTTTTTTTTTTACATTTTATAGACCAAACTAATATTTATTAGAATAACTAACAGTTTAATCAATAATACAAAATGTTGTTTGTTGCAGGCTTAAGTCCTTTTAAGTGGAAAATAGTAGATACAAATCTGGAAAGTGGATTTTTTTGATAAAAGTGTCAACAACATTCTTATTTTTTGACCTAACGTTCACACAAAACTCCTCTGAGTAATAAACAATGAGCTTATGTTTTTATTTTTAAATCAGTATGGAAGAAATGTTCACATTAAGCTCGTGAGCAAAATAAATCTGCTGTGATCCTCACTGAGACAAATGTTTCTTGCTGGAAGGAAAACACATTCAGATGAGATTTATAACAAGTCAGGCATTTTAAGAAACTGCTTCTTCTTCGTACTCCTTCATTTGTAGGAGGAATATGCTTCATTAGTAGCAGCCAGTGGCCTGTGATGATTTAAATTAAAAATCACAAAGCGCTGTCAGTGTGGCTGTTGTTTTGGTTGCAGAGCGGAGGGGAGACAGCTGATCGTCTTGCTGGGGTGAAACGATGTTTGCTTTGGCTCGCTGCATTGAAACTATCTGTCATTAAATGTCGAAGTGCAAAACTCGCAAACTCCTGCTCCTTGCATTGTAATGTGCCACTTGTTTAAACTGCTGGGGCCCCTCGACAGTGCCCTTCCTGTAATGTGACACAGGCAGGGCCCTTAGGATGCACACACACATTCACACACACAAACACACACCGATCAGTGTCAAAACTATCAAAGCTCCAGGTTTGCTCAAATTAGCTAATCTGTTCGCCATTACCTGCAAATTGACTTTGATGTCTGACAAAACACTGGGGGAAGAGGAAACCCCAAATGAAAGGAAATCAAAAAGTATTTTTTTTCCTACAGTTTGAGATGGGACTCTGATGAATAGAGCCTCTCTGTCTCGCCCCGGAGGCCGAAAATGAATGAGATGAGGGGAAAATTGCATCGAAGCACGGGATATTTTCATGTCAATTTCTGAAATTACGCAGCCGTGGAAACATTTACTGTTTTCTTTTTGTCGTGAGGCAGTTTAATTATTTTCGTTTTCATCTAATGTATCATGCATTTTAATGGGAGCGTTTAACTTGTCTTGAGAGTCTTTTGAAAATAAACCAGGGATGTATACCGAGCATAGTAAATCAAAGTCAAGAGAGCTTGAAAAATAAACCATCTCAGTCTTTAACAAGTTAAAACTATAAACCATATTCATATCCCTGTGCATACCTCTGGGCCCAAAACGATGTATACTGTATACAGGACTGATACTTTAAACCTCAAGTTTATCACACAATTACATTTGGTACAATAACTTATTATAACTTAACTGTGAAATAGAAATACATTAACATAAGTAACAGCTTTGAAAGAAAAACTAGACCTAAAAAAGCTGCATAATTCATAGTTAGTACCTCTATTTGACGTCAATGCTTAAATATACAAACAAATCTATCCAATTACAATCAACACATGTTTGTCTCCAGGCATCTGGGCGGGCTCCAGGACTACGAGCAGGGCCAAAACTGTTGGTGGATGCGAGCAATGCTTCATACCAGGGGCCCCCTGGGAGCGGCACGGGGTGAGAGGGGTCCGAGGAGCGGGGCTGTATTTTTAGGACAAACTAATAAACTTGTCTGGCTGGACAGACAGTAGTGTCCGCTGGCATGGAGGGGTGTGTTTTCACAGGCCACTGACCCCCCCGTGGCCACACACACACACAGAGAGACAGACGGACTAGACACAACACTAGCGGACAGAAAGAATCATATGTGCTTATGTACACACACAAAATGACTTATAAACTGATGTTAGATGTTTCTTAGTGTCTCTACTCCTTTCAAAATGGTGGACTTGGTGGTCAAGAGGTTAGAGAGGTCAGATTATTGGTGGCCTATTGGTTAAAAAAGAATAGCATTCAAGTCTCTTTACCCATTATTCCTGTCTATTTCTACTACCCAACTACCGCATTTAAAAAAGGTGAAGCAATGAAGATATCCCTCTAAATCTGCGTCTCTAGAGACCCTGCCCTCTGCCTGGTTTTTATATTTTACTGTGATTGGGAGCTTTCTGGTCGTCAGCCTCTATAAAGACGCTGTGACCAAGTTCAAGATCATAAAACCGCATCCAAAAAGGAAGCTACTTACTTGGCGGACACAAAGCATTTTCAGTGCTTTGTCTGCCAAAATAAAAAAAGGCCAAGATTGCTGTAGCTTCCTCTAGGATGTGGTCTTATTAAAACAATCCACAACTAGCAAATGCTGCTCATGGTACCTTTTAAAAAATAAAAATAAAATAGAGAGAGGTGAATATCTAACCTTTCAACTCCTGGATAAATCTGGTGGGACATTGACCAAGCAACTTACTGTAGTCCCTAACTGCTGAAGGGAAGCTGCTCAGTGGCCAACACACTAGACTGTAAGTATACTGTGGGAAGATCTAAGGTACGAAGGAAGAACATAGATTGAATTGATAGAATTTAATTGAATGATCCTCCTTTAGAAGTATGTGGAAGGATACGAAGACCATACCAAATGTTTATTGTTTTCCTTTTCCACTAACACATGATCAAGGGAAGCTCACACATGTGCTGGTCATGTTTAAGAAAGCCTGTAGACTCAGCAGTTTAAATGATGTTCCTGCCTGCCATTGTAAATGTAAAGGTAATTCACCCCATCTTTAGTATGCTCTGGTTTCAGCCAGTTAGACTTAAGAAAAAAGTACTTTATAACACTTACGCAGCTGTATTCCTTTGACGCTAATATTCAAACATTCGCTTCCTGAATGCACAGAGCTTCTTTGTACAAACTTTTTTATTAGGTCAACTGAGAGTCTCCGCTGAATCCTGTCTCAGACTTGACTTTGGTCTGCATCTAGTCATGTTGATTATCCACTTGGCTGAATTTAGCTGGCTTAACCCAGACAACACTGTTAACGCTGGTCTCAAGAAGAGGAGGGAAATTGGAGGTGAAACCAAACATTTAGCTAAATAGGGCTGCAATCCTTGGACATTTCTGTGAATACTAAGCTTCTTTTTGATCAATAGCAAACACAGCACAGTCTAGCCAGACCAGATGACTGAGGTTGAAAGAAACAAGCATGCTCAGTAAAAGAAAAGAGCATTAAAAGCAGAAATGCGTAAGAAAGCAAAGAAAAGGGCAAAAAAGCAGCTTTGCTTGGACAAGGCAAATCCACAAATTCCCCAAATGTCATCGGCAGAGACAAATCAGCCAATAACCACCCCTGAAGAGGTCAATGTGTAAAACAAGCAAGGACTTTCTCAGCGGGGTCTTTCAACCACTCCATGCTCTCTGTGTGTCGCCTAACAAAGACAGCAAGACGTCCACTATGAAAACAGAGAAAAAAAGGTTTTACCTACATACCTCTAACTCGACAGCCACAACTACACACATGTGATTTACAGTATTTGTACAGCATATTAAACCTGTTTTTCTCACTTATAGTGTACACCATGTCCAGTTATTACACCCACCATGTGTTCTGTTGTTTATCAATCATTATCCAGGGGAGGCTGAACAGTTCTGGGTACAAGAGTTTAAAAAAAATCCTCCCATAGGACACGCTCATGGGTCTGAAAGAAGGACCAATAGGATTCCACAAGTACCACGGAGGGACTAAGTCAACAGCAGTGATGAACAGGGGTCAGTAAATCCATCACTGGGTCTTTCACAAGTTTATAAATCTGGAACTTTTTGTTCTCTCGAAGAGGAGTAGTGCTGCCTGCTGAAGGTCAACAATTTCAGAATTCATATCAATTTCTTTAGATCATTCATTTGAAAGACTACATGAAGAGAAAAGTATCCGTCACTAAAAGGCTGTTTGATGTTTTAGGAAATATTGGCAGCACATGAATTCATCATTTGTTATCTAACCCAGCCCTTTAAGGTGCACGGCATTCAACTATAATAAAACCTGTTGACAACTAAAGATGTCTTTAGTGAAGCACTTTGATGGATTACTTGTCTTTAGCTGAGTTTCAAGTTTCTCTTTAAGACGGTTCCAAACCAGTAACTGCCTGGAGGGTAATAAAACACAAAAAAACAATGGACCAAAACTTGCAAAATACTGCCATGATACTTTATGGAGTGCAACCAGAGCGGTGAAAGGATACGAGACATAAATCAGACTTACATGTGTGGCTTCTTGACAAGAATTACAGAACCTGAGGACTTTATAATTTGGCAACTGACTCCCTACAAGCAGCACATCATGTTACATGCTGCACATTGTAATAAATTACGTCTGTGTTCACTATAATTTACTTAACAAATTGACCAAACCAAGCAATTGAAACCTAGATGGATGAAGCTCCAAAATGGTGTCAACTTTTCAATTATAATTCTCTCACCTCTATCATTCCTGACTCTGGATAAAAAGACACATCCAGCCAGAAAATAGACTTTCAACCCAGTGGCAGATGGATAAGTGAAGATACATGAGATTTTTGTTGAAACGAGGCACATTGTGATGGATTCCTGTGCTTGTTTCACTAAGCTTTTTAAACTCAACTAAAGCTAAACGAAATAAATCCGAGTATAAACCATTCTTTCAAAATGCCTGTAAACTAATAATTTGATCTGTTTCTCTAGAAATGTTTTCATTCCTGCTCTTAATCTCATCAATTCCCCACAGGCTGACATAGATAGCCCCGAGTGTATTCCTGGCACGCTTCACATCAACAAACTTCTTGATAAAAGATTGTTTTATCGGAGAAAGGGTTTCTTATCACCGAGATGTAACTGTAGAAGAATCTGATGCACACTTTCAGAGTGTAAAAACCATGACCAAGAACTTGAGTTTGATTGAAAGCTGCTCCAAACTCACAGCAAAAATTGGAAAAGGGCAAAATGTGTATGTGAGAAGCAACGCGAGAGAGGGATAAACTGTACGGCAGGCAGCTGTGTTGATAGAAGAGGCAATTCAGCAGACAGCAGGTCAGTATGACAACGTCTACAAGAGACATCTCCTGAGGTGAAGCTAAGCCGCTTAGCGTGGCAGATTACACGGTTAGAGCAGAATAATCTCATATTTCCTTTTGATAAATGTGTCAGACTTTTACGAGGTGCAAGCGGGATGAGCCAGTTCTGGGAGTACCTGTGAAAAGAACAGTGTGATTATTTTTGTGGAGAGATCCTGCACCTGTCCTGTCAATCGTCCAAAGAATATTTAGCCTGACATTGATGAATGCGTTCACATGAAGCTCCGCACTGCTTAACGTCTCTTGTTAAAGGCGCTGATCAGGGTAGTGAGTGAGAGCAGAAACAGGAGGAGAAAGGAGTTCTGGTGTCTGTCATGTTGTTGGCCCTCGGGCGGTTTTTCGATTGGCAGTGGGGGAGAAGATGAGCATGAAGAGAACAAAGAGGAAAAAGCTGATGCAAAAAATAGATAGAAGGACTAAGAGCACACAAATATTTGAAGATTCAAGTACACATCCAGGAGGCCGGAGTGAAGTATGTGAGGCTGCATCAGGGTTCAGAGTTATCCTGCTCTTCAGAGGCCACAAGGTCTCTGATGCCTTCTCAGGTTTCGGAGAGATGTGTCCCTGTTTGATGATGTACTGGCATCCCTGAGTTGGGGCAGGGGCGTAGGGTTACCAACTGCCCACAGGACACCATTACTGTCTTCAGTCAAGTGCTGCAGGACATGGATGAAAGCACCAGGCTTCACAAACAGGGGGTAGAGTGAAGCTAATGTACCCACCGCCCCTGTGTGCGTGCGTGCGTGCGTGTGTGTGTGTGTGTGTCAATGTCTGTGCATGTATAGTAAGTTCTGTCATTTAAGTGCCCAGCCGTCATTGACTTAAAATGCTGGAAGTGTATACAATTAGACATACAGCAACACCTGCATTGTAAACACAGAATTTTGTATTCCGTTACCTCTTCTGTCCCAAATCGGCACTGACAGCTCTTTAAAAGGATTCAAACAGCAAGTTTGATAAGAAGTTTAAGACATTTACCTAAGTGTGGACTTCAAATGAATAGTTTGAAATCATAGGAAAAACTAACTTGCATGAATAGTGGCTGAATAGTAAATATGAAACAACAGTCAGCAGCTGGTTAGCTTATCTCAAAGCCTGGACACAGCTAGTCAGGCTGTGTCCAAAAGTAACAGCCCTGCACATTTAAAGCTCATTAATAAACATATTATACTGTAGCAAGCAGATTATGTTACCACAGCCTGTTTCCACTCTTCATGCAATGCTCAAGGAACCATCTACTAGCCGTCTACTTGTTTTGAAGAGGCATATAAAAGACTCATTAACTTCTTAACTCTGTGGATGAGCATATTTTCCAAGATGTTGAACTTCTGAACTTAAAGAGTGTTTCTATAGCCAATAGAAATGTACCTGATCATCACTGCGCACATGTTTTTTTGTAAAATTCTGTCTGCATAAGGCTGTACATTGTTGTGGTTTATCATGTCTAATTTAGGTCTTTACATAAACACCTATTTGCATAGTGAATACTGCACTGTTATTTAGTTAGAACTTAATAATACATGAGTTTTTCATACAAGATATCCCAGAAAAATATCTCTCTAGTGAGCTGCCGTTAGGCATATTCCCAACTAGGTTTCAAATCCTTTTACAATTATGTCTGACATTTGGATTATCTCATCTAATAGGAGCAGTCGTAGCCAGAAATGGTGAAACGTACTGAACTCCCGAAAGCCCTAACCCTGCAGTGAACTGTTACAATCTACACATTCACTGAATCCCCAAATGCCAGGAGCATTATCTCAAACAGGACACACACACAAACAGAATCCCTGATGGACGGATATTTTTCTTCCTCGGCATGCTGTGTGGTGCCAGCCTTTTTCTTTGAGCAGCCTCCTGCTGTGTTCTTGTTCCCTAATGAAAAGATGCCTCACTCTGCTCCCCAGAATGCACTGGGAAACGTCACCTGTGGTTAATAGGCTCTCATTAACCACCTGTGGAGACCCAGAGAGACAGTAGTCCCATTCACATGTAAACAACAACTCAAACAAGTAAACAGTGTAAAGAAGTAGAGGTGGCTTTTTTTGTTGATCTTTTATTAACATTTCATTAGTTTTTAAGTGCATCTTAAACTCAAATTCTGATCCTGGTGATTGCTGGGAAGATTTCTAAGACATCAGCGTGTGTGTATACCAAATCCTCTATTTGCTTAGCTTCCAGACTGCTTCACTGTTTCAATGTCACCTGCGGATACTCAGAGCCGAGGGAGAGCAGAGTAATGCAAACACTGGGCTAATTGGCCCAATTAAGTCATTATGCAACACAAGCCAGAGGTCTGACAGTTAACACCCATCTGGCTCTCCTTACAAAGACCTGTGTCAAGTTTAACTCAGAAATGTTCCCACCAGCATGTGTCTGCAGCAGAAAATGAAATATGAGGCGCTGCAGGTCAGTCAGTGATAGACGATCATATCAGCAGTTTCTTCAGCACCAGAGGAAGTTGTTGCTGTGAGACAGTGTGTGTGTGTGTGTGTGTGTGTGTGTGTGTGTGTGTGTGTGTGTGTGTGTGTGTGTGTGTGTGTGTGTGTGTGTGTGTAAGCATGTGGGTGCTTACCTCTCCTGACATGTCGGGAGCCAGAGGGATGAGGGGCCACAGGGAGGAGTAGATAGTGAAAAACACCACCCACAGGCCGATGCTCCCCCAGATGGCGATGTGACTGAACTGTGGGCGGAGAGTCAGAGGACAGTAAGGAAACAGAAATGATTTAAACTGAGTTAATTTACAGCAGATTTGAGCTGTATTCAAATGTTTATACAAAATGATATGCTTTACAATGAGTGGCTTTTAGCAACTTGGAGAAGTTTTGACTAGACTGCAATCTTTTTATTATTTTCTCAGTATCCCTTCACAATTTGCACATATTACATTCACACTCTACTTTGTTACATTTCAATAAATAAAAAATAACTACAACTACTTTGCACAATTGTATAATGACTAAAATATCCTATTTTTATATATTGGTCGTATAAGTTTGGTCTTTTAAAGTGTATTCTAACTGAATTCTTTATATTTGATATTGTGTATTCTATAGATATATAACTTTTTACTCTTGATAAGTATATATTTACAGTGTATTATTGAGTCATGTAACTCATGTGCAGATCAGATCTAAGCATATGTCTCAGAGTTTACAGTTACAGGCTCAGTGGGAAATGCAAGGATGTAAAAACGTCACAAGTATCAGCGGTCATATAAAGTGAAGGAACTGGAAAGAGTGGGCAGAAGTTTAGAGAGAAAGGATAGAGCCATCAGCCTACCATGGTCCAGGACGAGGTCTCGAGGCCGGCTTTAAGACAAACTGTGATGACCACAAACTGTAAAGACACAAATCACACTGACATTACACCAAGTCCCTCTGCAATACTAAAACCAGTCATGGTAAGTTCATCACACATGTTAGAATGTACATTAAATACATATTTGTGATACTGTGGAGTAAAAGAATTGGCCGACAAAGTAAAAGGCAGAAGAAAAGGCAGTTACATTGATGTTGATTCACACAAATGGGATGACACTTGGCTCAGAGACTAAACCGTTTAACACAGAAACAGCGCCTGTCAAGAAGATTGGTGCACTTACTGTGTAAACCATGTTGCCTAAGAGGAGATAGTCTGGAGTTCTTCCGTTGCCAAACACAGTATCTGTGAAGAAAATCAACAACAGAAGCTTTTAGGGTCAAAGCTGTCTCTTTTCAGCTCTTGGGTTTCATGCAGAGTTCCATTAGGTGATCCAAAGAGTAAACAGCCAGGCATGTAGGTTATTACTTTAGTACATCTCAGTGTGAACTCTGGTGTAAAATGCCCCATTAGAGACTTGGATTTAAGGCAGACACGGGAGTGTGAAGTTAAAACCACAGGCAAATGCTGCTTCCATTACCGCCCTTTGAGAGAGGCTGGAATGCCAATTTCGGTCTTTCCAACTAGAAGGAAGGAGTGTATCCGTGAAAATCCATCAGTAAGACTAAATTGGTGTGCATTAATCTTGGTCAGAAATAAATGTCCTGGCTAATACGTTGCTGAAATATAAAGAACATGACTGTTTTTCTGACAAAATGGATATTTATCCTGCAATTAAATCTGGTTCCAACCTAAACAGGACCAAATCTCTTAAACAGGGGTTAGAGGAATTTCCTAAATTAATAAAATGAAGATTACCTACACATTAAACTAGCTTCAAACTGCCCACGTGGGTTGAGGCTAAAACTAAAACATCAGCAGTGTACGACGGCCAGTAAAGAAAGAAAGAGAGGCTCCCGTTCCCTTTACTTCCGGCTGGTCACATGTCTTGTGTGCGCTGAGGCTTTGCTGACAGCCTGTCAGTCAGAGTGAAGGAGCTTGGCGCCTTTGTTTGGAGAGCAGGCACAGGCTTGTGTGGTCCTGCGGCCGGCCAAGACTTACCGGCTCAAAGATCCCTATTCTCTCTGCACTCGCACCCTGAAACCTGCATCTTAATGTGCACAAACATGCACAATTGACCTTAAACAGATAAATAAAGTTATCAAGAATTCATTTGACTATCATCGTGCAAAACGACGGATAGCTATTTGGATAAAACACCTGACAATCGATTGACAGTTTGAAAAAATAAATAAGTGCAAATAACTGAGTCCAAAAGCATTTCATCAGCTCGTTTGTGTGTATACATGAATAAATGCCTGTTAGTGTGTGTAGCTCTTGCCGGAGCACACAGATGTTTGTAATTCATGAGCGGGCAGTTGAAGAGAGAACTAATTAAGACAAAGTATGTGTGTTTGACTATCCTCCCTCTCCATCCAGAGTCCACCGAGGGCCTTGGCGGAGTCTCTGGGAGCTACTTACCATGCTGGAAGGCTTTAAGGGGGATCCAGAAGAGGATGACGGAGTGGAAGAGGCCGTTCAGACAATGGGCCCAGAAGACCTGCAAAAAAAAAGAGGGGAGAAGGATGGAGGCGAAGGAGGCAGAGGGGAGGAAGGGAGGGGTGGGGGGTTGGAGGCGGCAGGAGTTTCAAAGAAGAGAGAGGGAGACAGAGAGAAAAAAGCATGAGAAAAGGGTGTGGGGAGCTCCAGCCTTCCAAGTGACCCCTGACCCGGACCCTTTGTGGCAGCCCAGCGCTAGGCTAAGTGGCGGTTTTGTCGGGGCCTCCTCACTGAATGGCCACCCCGCTGACAGACACGTTGTATATCCTCTGTGTGTGTTATGGGGGAGAGAGAGGCCGCTGAGTGTGTGTACGAGTAATGAAAGGCAATAGGACAATGTCAGTGTGCAGGTTTTAACTTATTTTTTCCACAGAATCAAAGAAAAAACGCAGCGAGCATAAGAAACTGCAAAATACACGTCCTCACCTCGACGATAAGAACGTTATGCAACTTTGATATATGTGCTGCTAGTGTGAGGGTTTCCTCTCATTACATTTCATAAGGCTTTGGCTCTTTCATGTAAGGATTTTAACTGGTGTAGAAATAAATGACAGGAGTGTTTAAACAAGCAGAAATCAGTCTAGAAACACACACAGCGAGACTGACAGGCCTGACAGAGATTAAACTGTTTTCATGGTAATTATTAAGGGCCTGGAAAATCGTAGTGTGGACCACAGTCTGCGTGTGTGTCTGTGTGTGCAAGCATGCAGACTTTGGATGAGTCAATACTCCCACTCCAAAACCACCTTGTTTCAAATGTACTTTATGCAACACCAGAGCCAAACAAAACACAAATGGGCGATGTAGCATGAAACAGCCGTGAAATCTATTCTGCCAAAAACGGCTCCACATTTATGCCCCCTTTTCCTCCCTGTGCTGACCCAGACGACGCTGTTGCCCCTGAGAGCTGAGAATTCTTCAAACCCAGAGAGTGAATGGATAAAGGAGGAAAAATAAAAACTGAAAAAACATTACATTTTAATCTCTGGCCTCTTTTTAATCATCGGTTCTTGGCAGACAAGTTAAAGGCTCGCTTTCTTATAAACACTCTTTTCAACAACTTCAGCAAATCTGTCAGTAAAACATAAAACACAGCTTATTTGAGACACGTAAGAAAGACACACTGAGAGTCAACATTTCTTGGGATTTTTGCAGGTTTGAGTCATTTTAAAATAACTAATAGAACGGCTTTGGACTTTGGGGTGATTCCAAAATGGTGAAACAAGAGAAGAAAGGAAGGAGAGGGTACAGTGAAGGAGAAGTCTTCTTCCAAACTGTGAGTCTTTGTAATACACCTTAGCCTCTGTGGCTCGACCTACTCACCTTTGCTATCGACCAAACAAAGTCCCATAGCAGCCACCCCCCCTTCCTCCTCCCAACTCCCCCCCAGGATTACCTCACCCTCCCACTATGTACACAGAACCCACTGAGTGAAGAGTGGCCTAAACCAACCCCCACCACTTTATCTCAATTGTGGATTAAATGATCACTAATGTTACAATCACGTTTATGCCCATTAGCCTACTGTTGACAGGCTCTGCTCTCTCTCGCCCTCCTCCTCCTCAACTGTCCCATTCCCAAACACTGCAGGGACGCAAACAAAGTCGTTTCTTTCCTCAATAATGAATGCTAATGAAATCAATACATGTTCATAATCATTTGTCACAGTGGGATCCTCCCTTTCACCCTGCTCTCTTTCTTTTTGTGCATCCCAGCAAGTTACCAGGGGTCCCCTCCGAATGAATGCGCAGTCTGTCCTGTAGATATTCCGACCTTTGTGGAAGTACTAATTGAGGCAAAAAAGCTGGTAATTAATATCGAACCAAATATTTTCAATACTGCCCACTCCTTCCTTTTTCTTTTAGAGCCAGTTCAGTAATGGCGCTTTTCCACTGCAGGGCCTCGCACGGCTTAGTACGGTATAGTTAGGCCTTGGTAGGCCAGGCTCACTTTATGCTGCGTTTCCATTACGGCCCGTCTACACAGCAGCGTTAAAAAAATCTTCCAACGCTTCTGCCCATTGACTTTGAATGGGGTGACGTCACTTTGCCTCGCTTTTTGCCGAACTGCATTGTGGGGAAGCAAAGCGAAGATTTCCAGGATTTCCAGGATTCAAAAGTTGAGCAATGTTCAACTTTTGAAGCTGAGGTGGAAGCGTCGGCCAATCAAATCCCGTTTATGCAAATCTGACAGTACAAGCGCTAGCCAATCAAACCGCGTGCAAGCTGGGAGAGCCAGACCGCAGTTCATTTCCTCATATTCCAAACGAGAAATTACGGTAGCAAATCACCTGGTTCTTTACGACCAGTAACTATTTACTGGGATACAAACCGGAGGAACCAGGCATGGAGGGAGGTGGCAGAGACAGTGGGTGAAACTGGTAGGTTTTCACCTGTTTGGGGAGTTTATATATATGCTCGCATAAAATCCCCGGGGTTTTTTGCTTTGTATTTCGGGGGCGGGAGATTCATGTGATTGGTTGTTGGTCGCAAAAAATCCCCAAGCTTTCAGACACGCCCACCTCCAAGATTTTCAAGATTTTTTTAACGCTGCTGTGTGGACGGGCCGTTACAGTTTAGTAGCTGGGGCAGTAACTATAGTAACGCAGTGTAGGTGGAGCCGTGACGTCATCTTCAATGCAAACCACAAAACCAACATCAGCTGTTAGCTGTTAGCACTCAGAGCCCACAGCTCCTCATATCTGTTCAGAAACTAGACAAAAGTTAAACAAGTACAAACCACAGACTGTCTGTGTCATGGCGAATACAGTCGCTGGTATATTTATGTCTGTAGGCCGTTGTTGTGAGTGTGGACAGTCGGAGCATATACAACGTTAGCTTAGCCGATCTCCATTCAGGTTTTTCGCCTGCCGTTTGTCTGCAGACTTGTCAAAGCATTAATTCATGGTTTTTACTAACCAGTATCAGTATGTTGTTACTTCGGCATCATTTTGAAACGTGTATTACATTTAAATCACGGTAAAATATGTTCATTTTGTTGTGGTTGTAGCCCCCTTGCCAGCGATTCTCTCTGACCATTCAACAGTCGAGAGTGTTTACGTCACCAGTTTAGCATATGCAGCCCAGTTGTTGGCCCGGTAAGAACCTCGATTTTGGAGGGCCAGAAAAAAGCCCTGAGCCGGAACTACCCCTAGTGGAAAAGCAAAAGAAAACGTGCGAGGCCCAGCAGTGGAAAAGCACCATAAGAAGGGAGCTCAGAGGAAGAAATAAAAGAGTAAAACAGAGGGAAGAATGCAGTATAAGAGGTGATAATTGCTAGTAAACTGCTGAAATGACTACAACTACATCAAGAGGGGGTCAGGGTTTATTGGAGTGACTCAAGTGTCAGGTATATGTAATTAAAAGTGAATGGGTGGCATAGTTAAAGACACGCCTTGAGTTTTTAACACCCTCAGTCACTCCCTTCTCCCACCTCAACACAAGCAGCTTTAATTCACAAAGACAGTATCTGTTGTGTACAAAAGAGCCAGGCGTGCAGAAAGACAGGCTTCGAGGGGCCAAATTCCTGCTGGATTTTCTCGCCTCGCCTCGGGCCAGCTGCAAGGAAAATATCTCGGGAAAAGAGTGGACAAGCCAGCAAAAACAACCTGCTGACCTGGCCGAGTCATCATTTATGGGACTTGGAAAATGTGTCTCAAAGTAAATTGAGGTTCATTTGCTTCAGACACATTTTTCAGACCCTTATTTGGCAATGAGAAGTAATGAAGTCTTCAACAATATTAATGAAGGGAAAATCAATCCTACTTTAGAATTTAACTAAAAAAGGGGACGATTTAATGAGCCGTTGTGAGGACAAATGTCTGTCTGTTTAACTTATACATGAAGATAATGTATCCACAGAAAAACCATAGCTCTTATTTTGTGTAAAGTGTGTCCTTTTTGACACCAAAGGACCTCCATTTGGTCATCTTTCTCTAATTATGAAACACAATCCGGGCCATAACTAAGAGTGGATTTGATTACATTTACTCAACTAATTACCTTGATTGTGTTCATTTGTCATAAGTGAGTTAAAATCTGAAAGGTTTCTTTTTTTGTAATTCGACTAATTTCCCACAGCCGGGGGCCCGAAAGCTCACCAGGTGCCCCTTGTTCAAAGGCTACTTACAGCAGGGACCTGAGCTCCAACCCAACCTGTGGGCCTTTCCTGCATTTTGATGCCCCTCGCCTCCTTTTTTGTCTCTACGGCTGTTCTATAGTAAAAAAGCCCAATAAAGACTTTCAGTCCAGGGTGGTGTGTTTAAATTGCTTCTGTGTTTATAAAAAAAAAGTGACTGAAATGTTTTTGTTGTTAATAAACTAAGCTATTAATCAGTATATCATTGCCGCTGTTTACATTGGTGTCAGGAAACATTCAAATTATTTTTTTTTTTGGATGAATATGAAGGATTTGGCTTTTCGGCAGGTTGAAATGGGCTAGCCGTCTCCTTTTTTAAACTGGTTTGATTAGAAAAACTGTCATTTTTTAAGCAATTAAGTTGTCACTGCTCATTAAACTGAAGATGGAAACACAATTCACACATTCAGTGTGGTCCGACATGGGTTAAACTCAATCTGACAGCCTTGCTCTGAGAACAAAAAACGGCCTTACTTAAACAAATTGCATAATTTTCCGCGACAAACGCTGTCACACAATGACAGCACACTCTCTCTATTCCCTCCTTCCTTCGATTATTTCTGCTGCATCCCCCAACTCATCTGACCTTCCCTGCTCCTGAACGCCATGGCCAATCCGTATTTAATCCACCTCCATGCTGTGCTAACCAGGTCACCACGCCTGTGGGTCCAGGGCGAAAGAGGAGACATCTTTATTACCAGCGGGGGGAAAGCTAACGGACAGCCCCAGCTACCAGACAGAATAGGTCAAGCCAGGCCAAACCAGGGTCGGACTGGAGACCCACTGACTACAGCTGCCAGGTCACTGGGACCGGAGACGCGTCCTCAAAACAACACGACACGAACCTCTTCTGTCATTCATTTGATCTTAATTGGTCGTAAGAGCTCGCACATTTGACCTTCTCATTTGTGTGGCAGAGCACAAAATGAATTCTCAGTTTTAGAATATTGTTATATGATATAGTATTATATTTAATATGAAAATGGAGTGTTTGATTACACTAGATGAGCTGAATAAAATTACCAAAATGGCTGGTAATGTTGCTCGCAGACTAAAAGCACCAAAGCACGTTAGCAGAAATACAAAATATTAACTGAATACAAGTTCCTTACAAGTGAAGGAACACTGCCAATATTGCACTAGATTTATAGAAATGTTAGAAATCCATATCAAGTAATGATATTACTTTATCTAAATGGAGCAGGTATAAATATAACAAAATACTGCAACAAAAGGACAACAGTTATAATAATATTTAAAATCTGGTTGTGCACAAATAAAGTTGATAAACAAGTGTTACCTTGGTATTAAAGCCCATTGCATTCTGGGAGGTTTTGTAGAGTTCTGGGTATTTCAGCATGTTTTCTTTCCTGCAGGAACGCTCAAATATTCCCAGAGTGAGAGGAGGCAAAGCAGTGAAGATCTGTCAAAGAAAAGCACACACATGAGGAAACATTAGTGGTAAAAAGTAAAAGGTATTAAAAGAAACATATCTATGTAACCAATAACTTAAATCACTTTGCAATTTCACCTGTCTTCATAGCTGCCACCCTCTCCATATGTTACATTTATAGGAGAATTTGCTTCAATTTGTTCTCCACATTCCACATTCTTTATTTTAAATTATTGGAGACCATTGACCTTATAACCCTTAAGGGTTTCTTATTTCGGTTTGTCATGCTTCACGTCTTTTCATATGCAAAACCCAATGAACATCTGTGATACCCTTGACTTAGAAGCAGGTATTTAGGCTTGGCTAAAGTGTAATTTCTTAGTGGTGTTGTAATGTTGTTCTGTATTGCAGCTGCTGAGAGAGGAGTGATGGTATTGTGTAGCTGGGGGCTCAGTGGGTCAGTTGGTGTGAGTTCCCTGAAGCCCCATCTGGAGTGGGAGTCTACAGGCCTCAGTCTGCAGGACCAGCGGGTCACAGGACATGCTCCACTGGCCTCCTTTCTTATTCAGAGCCAGGCGCAGGAAGATCTCCATTGAGAGGCGGATTCAGCCCACTGCCTCCGACAGACTCCCACTGAGGCGGAGGAATTCCCTCAGTTTTGGATAAAGTAACCCTCTTCCCACCCCCCAAATACAGTACTGGATCTAAGCTGATGGTTTATTATGAAATGAATGTGAGAGTCAAAGCTGTGGAAATATCCTTCTCACTTGACAGTTTGTCCCTCCCATAAATTACTTCCTTTTGAGACCGATCAGGAATGTGATGCAATTTCACTTCACACGTCTCTGATTTTTTGTTTGTTGATTGAATCGAGTTGATTTTAATAAACAGTTTAAAGTTACATATCAACTCCTTATGGACTTAACGGCATGGTATTACATTTTAGACTTGCAGATGCACATGTTTGAGTTCTACTTAATTCATGTCAGATATGAAATATGAGTTCATTAGGAGTGGTCCTATTATAAAGCCCTGTGGGACGCCCTTCATCAGCAGCCCACTCTTTCCTATTCTTTTTATCATTCAAACGTAGCTGGCCTTACTAACGACACACTTTAGAGCAAGCAAATCTGTTGTTCTTTCGTATTCAGTACATAGTTCAGGGCACAGAGGGAATATGGTCTTGACAACAGGTCATAAATAATGGGAAACGTATTAAAGATGTTGATGACAAAGTCACGTAATAAAGGGATCAGTTTAAGGTTCACAACCACAAATCTGTGTTTTTCCAGAGAGCTTTGGGTTAAAAAAGGACCCATTAGAGAGTTAATTTTATTAGCACTTACCACATTGTATAAGCCGATGCACCAGCGTTCAAATAGGATCTGGCCTGAGAAACCATTGACAAATGCAAACCAGATCTAAGGGAGACAAAATCACAAGAAGAAGCAATAAGAACAGATGAACCAATGGTGTAGAAACAGATTCATATAATGACAGCTCTAAAATAGATTTTATATCAAACACTTAATATTTTTTATTAAAACACAAAGACAACTACGATGGTTTATCTCCCCTTCCCATTAGTGTAATATTAATCGGTGAGGCACTTAGTCATGAATTCAATACTGCAGTCTCCACAAGATGCTGTAAACAACACATCTCTGTAGTATTTTGAATTTCAGTAGACATTATGCTTTCCATTATTGATAGTGATGGTGAGACCAGCTCATTTTAAATACAGACAATCGGCTTTTTCATTAGATTTCATGTCAATAAAAAAAAAAACAGAAAAATGGAAATTATCCTAAATCAAATGCGGGTTTGTTTGAAGTGCTGACCTGTGATCAACGTGCCATTAGTTTAAGTTAGCCAGGTTTCAAATTCAGATAAAGCAGAGTGGGGCCAGAATAGAGCAAATAAGAAAAAGAATGAGAGTGGGAAAGCCTAGACCTCCAGATGCCACCTCCATGATACAAACTGCCTACTGGATTAACTACAGACATATATCAAGCCCACTATTTTCCTCCTTGATCTACCTGAAGACAAGTGGGTGACAGACGAGGTTAGTTATAGGAGCAGAGTCTGGGCTGTAGGACTCTGAAGGATGGAGACTGTGATATATTGTGTCAGGAGAGTGAGACAGAAGTAATGTAAACCATATGTTGGGTGGAGACGAGTCTTATCACATTGCCTGATTAGTTATACTTATCTGAACAAAACAATGCCTCTTAGATCAGGACACAAGCCAGGTATTGTAAATAAACTATATTTAAAGCAAGTAGAGAAGTTAGGATAGAGTATCTAGTCTATAAAAATGGTAATTTGTTTTTAAATGCATTTGTCTGACACATTCTGCACTACTGGTATGCTGACAGTTAATCAAAGTTTGACACTTCGCGGTCCAGAACCAGCATATTACTCACGCCAGATCGGTCAAGGAAACATCAGGGGTGCTGTGTTTTTGCCATGGCCAAGCAAGCATTTCCTCGCTTCATTTAACTTCATTATGAAGGCATGAACTGCTACAAATTCTCAAATTGGGACAAAGCCTATGTGAGGGCCCCACCCGCCCGCTGCCACTCTCTACATGACCAATACCAATCTGCAACTGGCCCTTCCTATTTAATCGAGTAAGCATATGCATGAAAACAAATGTCTGTCCCGCTCCCTCCCCCCCACCCACCCTTCATTCCCTTGGTGAGGTTTGGGGGGGGTGGGTGCCTATAGACGAGGCCTGTGTTTGCCCCCAGACCCTGCCCTTCATCTCCCCTCTCTGCCACACCCACCCCTCACAGATCCAAGCCTGCTCTCCATCAGGTGCACTCTACCATGATGTTGTTTCTTTTATGTGAGGGGTCCTGTTTTTAAATTCACGTGGGATGTTCACCCAAAACTGGGACCATGTGGCTCTGTTAACATGAGAATCACAGGATGTACAGTACATCTGTTGGCAGTGCAAGAATAGTTTTTAGGTGTTTTGGGATCTTGGCTTGCAGGAAATACATTCAGATGCCGTTGCTATGGGTAATGTTAAGATGAAGCCCCAGCCATGAGGCAGGTTCAACCATTAGCGTGGCTCAAGCAACGGTAACGAGAAGCTAGCGAGTAGGTCAAACTGCTGAATTAATTACAGCTCTGCCCAATGAGGAGCTCTGGGCTGATATATTGTTGTGCTAAGTTAAAAAAGGCTCCTATTCATTGCATGTGGTAACTGCCTCTGTGTGAGTGTTTTGGCCTGGTCCTTGGGGTCCCAATAGCTCCTGTCTCTTTCTCCCTCTCCCATCTCTTGAGGGACAGATGCATTGATTTGCTCATTAGGGGAAGTACCAGGCAGGATTTTCTTCCCCTTTTCTTCTCCTCATTGAGTGCCACTCAGCGAAGGGGTGTGGCTGGCCTCTCTCCCCGACTGAACATCATGAAAACAGCAATGGAGGGAAGCGGGATTCAGAAAAGGGGGATTGGGCCGCGGCTTGCCGATAAGAAGACTTCGTGCATATTCATAAGCGAATCAAAAATCACTGATTCCATGAGCTGCTTCACAGCTCTGCGGGCTTGTCTAAAAGTGGCAATGGGTTGGAGGGTGGGGGGAGCGTGACATTTGTCCTTAACAATGTGAGCCCAGATACTCTTAAGCTTGGTACAGAGAATTGCAAATGGAATTCATACACAAAGCAAGCAAAGAATGTCAAGCGATATAAAGAGGGAGCTGATAAATATGCTGGAAATATGTGGAGCTACAAACACAAGCTGTCTCACAATGCCAGACACGGCCTCTGTGGCTTTATTCAGTGTGCAATGGTCGGCAAGCTCAGCAACTCTGAGCCGCACTGAATGAGCTTTCATGTAATTGCCTCATAAATGCCACTTGTCCATCAGCCCCCTCTGTCGCACCCTGGCAATGTGTCAATCAAACATGAGTGGCCAGCTGGATCGGTCATTTGAATAAAGTTGCTATGGCTTCTTCTGGAGAGGTCTCTTAGCTTAAATGTGACTGAAATTCATTATTTTTTTTAATTCTGTTCTTACGTTAATTGCGTATTATGTAAAAAAAGAAAAAGGGTTATGAATTCGGCTTGAAGCTCTGGGACACATTGTTTAAAAAGAGTAAAGATAACGATGTTTTGCAATTAGTGAAATAAGTCAATCTTTCAAGCGTGATCATGGTTAAAGTATTCTCTAACTGATAAGGAAAAAGGAACACAAACCATAATCAACAGCATGGGGAAATCCAAAAGAAACACTGAGGCAGTTCAAGCTGTCAGTCACTCATAGTCACCTTACATTGTGACTCACTATTAAACCTCAGAGACAGAATAGACCCTGAATGATCATACAACTATTCTAAGAGTCTCAGACTTAGTTCCCGTCTTCAACAATAGCTGTGGAATCTTTCACCCTCCTACTCCATGTCTCCTAAAAAGAACCAAAGACCCAGTGGAAGGAGAGGGAGACGAAAAGAGGCTTGAACACAGAGTCTCCCAGTCCTGGTATTCAAATTGTAACACACACTGTACCAGACAATGGTGCTGCGAACAAAAAAAGTTAAAATTCCCGTCGACATCCTTCCTTTTCTACTTGCAGGGTAGCCTGGGAGTCGACGAGAAAAACATGGAAGCACACAAGTAAACCTATTAGTGCAACAAATGCAGCTTTATACCCATACCCTGAGGTTGCTGGTGTGTTAGATGTCAGGGTCTTACAAAACAGGGACGTTTGAAATATTGAAGCAGCCTTAAAGTGGAGAAATGTCCTATTATCTACTTCAATCCCCTGAAGGAGCGCAGAGCATGGGGGAAGGGGGGTTATGTTTTCAGAGAGCAACAAAAGCTGTGCTAGAAAGAAGCTCGCCCTGCAGACAGAACTATTGATGTTAAGTTTAAATTGTAGGGAAACACCTGCTTTGAAAAGAGTATTGTGATGTTTTTCAAAGAGAAGCTGTATTTGGAAAAACAAAAAATCATAGAATAAGTATTGCAAAATATTTGAATGTTTTATAAAGGTTGTGGACATTTTGAATAGAAAACTGGAAGGCAGTCTTGAATTTATTCAATATAAACATAAGATGTTGTGCCACCTTTTAACGTGGTTAAAAACAGGGCCGAACATTTATGAATTCGACATTCGTGCACAGATGAAATGTCTTAAGTAATGTTTTTGCTGACAGAAAATTAAATTGGCTGCAAATCTAATTTTATTTTGGATCTGCAAATGTAACCTTATCTGGAAAAGGGTAGCATGATCAAACAGTTGCAGTTCCCATAACTGCAGTTATAACCTGAAAGGGAGCGACTGCCCTGTTTTACTTCAGGTCACAATAAGCCAGACATGCTGGAATTTAAAGAGTAGTCTACTGATTCTCCATGGCATATAAGTTAGAGTGAGACCAGAGGTCAAATGTTACAGAGAGAGGATGAACAAAAGAGAATTTTAAAGTGCTCATATTTCCAAGACAGGTTATTTGGTGCTGATGTGTTAAAGGTCCCATGTCATGCTTTTCTGCTTATTACCCGTCCCCTTGTGTTTTATGTAGCTTAGTCACAAACCCTCAAAGTACACCCTGTAGCGAGTAAAACTCTAACACAGAAAATACCTATATGCTGCCCAGAATGCCTCGTTGGAGATACTCTTTTTCCATTGTTTACTTCTTGGGTATAGTGACGTATTTCGGGTATAGTGACGTCACGTCCGCGGAGCCGTTAAGTTTGGACAAATCCGCGGACTTCCTCACACACACAAACAAACTCGGGGGGACGTTGCGAGGCTCGCTGCTGCGAGGAGCGGGACACACACTGGTGTGGGGTCGGTGAGACACCGCAGAACTCAGCCTGGGCACACACACAAACTCCCAGCCAGGCTGCGGGTGTGTGTGTGTTTCGCGCTGGGTTTCGCTGTGTGTCGCAGACGGCCACTGGGCTCACAGGGAGAGGGGGGGGAAGGAGCTCCAGCAATCCGTTTAGGACAGAGAGTGAATACACATACTATACAGAGATGCTGTATGAGAAACTTGTATGAGTTTGGAAAATTGCACAATATAAATGTATTTTAGTATACCTCAACAATGGAATTATGATCAGTAGAAATGGCCAAGACATAGGACCTTTAAAACCATAAGGGAAAAGAAGGGTCAGGGAGCACTTATGAATTGTGCTCATTTCAGTGTGTAAATCCATTGCTTTATATGGCTACCGGGGCCCCCCAAGTACATAAGAAGAGAGTATGTGTGTGTGTGTGTGTGTGTGTGTGTGTGTGTGTGTGTGTGTGTGTGTGTGTGTGTGTGTAGGGGGGGTTATTTCTTAAAATTAGCAATAATTTTTTCATTTTCTCTATAATCTTTTCCTAATTTCTTACCCCATTTGTTTTTGTTTGTATTGTGGGCAGTTTGGTAAAGCTAAACACAAATATCCCCACTGTGGACAATAAACTTTCTATGTAATCAACATTTTATTCTTATAAGCATATGCTTCCAGCTTTGCAAGGTATGCTGATGACATGCAGTAAAACAGTGTACAGTATGTGAAACCCTGATATATATTGTTGTGGGACATACACTCAGTAGGGATTTCTTAAGAGGATGCAAAGCCAAGCTGTATCCGTCAGTGAAGTGTACGGCCAGATGATCAAAACATCGGAGCACTCCCTATGATAAAGCTGCTGCTGATAGGAAGCACTTAAACTGTCTGCCCATTCTTGGTTATGGCTCTGAACCGGCAATCAGTACTGGCTCTGGTATCTGTCAAAGGCTATCAAAACTACCGCACAGCAACAGAACAATGTTGGGAGCACCATGTGTTTGAACCCCCGTAACCATCGGCCATTGATGTACAATATACACAGTGGAGCTGGGTGCTATGAAGACACATTTATTGCCTGCTCATAATTGTCCGTGTGAAGTACCATCCATGGATCCTCAGTGCAGTACGATGTTTTAATTGATTGTCTTAACATCATGTTAATGGCATTCCCTAGAAATCCATCGTTCAATGTGAAATCATTGTCATATTTGAGGTTTTGTGTTCTACCTAAACCTTGGAAAACCATTCTTTGTTAGTAGTAGGATGGCCCATCATAGTGTTTACTGACTTAAATTCAGTATATTTATATCGTGCATTTGATATAGACACTCTCTAGATATATAATATGCACTGTTGATATGTATATATTTAGTGTTGATGTTTAATTCATGTGCAATGCCTTGTGTACATGTTGCTATGACAAAAGAAACAATCTAATTGGGATTCATAAAGTAAATCTAATATTTAATACTAATCAAATCTAAACCGTTTGCAAAATTAACATATATTTAAAGTGAAAAAAACTGTGATTTCCATTTAACCATCTGCATTTTATTTGGTAGCATGTCCATTCAACACAGTACAAAATAATATCCTACTAATAATGTAATCCGAGGGCAGCAATGGACAGGGGTAGCGCTGCTAGCATGGCTCCATGATTATGCAGGTGAATTCGGTGGATTAATATTCCAAGGATCCAATAACTGGCAAGGTTTTGGGAAAGGCAGACTTCCAGTTACGTAGGTTTAGTTTTTCCCCTTCATTAGTGTGAGTGTGCGTCTTTGAGTGTGTTTCGGTATTTTCTGTCTTGTGATTCAAAACTCAAACTATTGGCCCAGGATCTGCACCAACTGGCAGGTAGTGTGAAGGGCCAGTCAGCAGAAATACAAACATGGAAACTCTAACAAGAAACCTTTGCCTTTACACCTAATCATGTCATGGGGAAACATCTCAATGCTTTGCATTCAGAGCCTTTGGAGCTGCTGTGCGAGACTTACCTCAATGATGTAGAGGACAATATTCTTGTAGAAGCAGTAGAGGATGCACTTGGCTACACGGTTGTAATTCCAGGCTCCATGGACGAGCAGCAGGTTCTTCAAGTATTTGAACTGTGTGGGAGGAAAATGACAAGATAAATGAATAACAAAAGTCTGAGTAGAGAACACTGTCTGATGGTTTCTCATAATCACAGATCAGAGCTGGAACAGTGAATCAGAAAGCAGCAGTGTTATGTCCTCCAGCAGCAGAGAGGACTGATGAGGCATTGTGGCCAAAAACTCTCACTAACACATTCCAGAAATGTCAAGTTAAAGATTGGAAGATCAAGCTTTGAGTTGCTGAAAATGGAGTTCATATGGGGGTATTAGTCTCCTGGGGCTCAGCATAATAGTTAAATGGTTTAATAATAATGGCAACGTTTAGGGACTGTGGTGAAATTACCATTTCACTGCAATTTCTGGCTGATAAGTGTGATTACATTGGAGCAGAACCTCGAGGCAAGTGTCTCATCCATGTTGCCAGCTAATGACTCGAAGGAAGCAGGCGATCTACACTGCATCGTCTTTCCATCACACAGTATGAGAGGTTCTGTCTCAGAGTAGGAGGTAAGATGAGTCAAATTACATTTTTGGGAAAACACTATTTTGTTTATTTGAAGTTCTTCTTGTCTTTCAGCAACACCACAGTATGTTCCGGTTAAATGGCAGCACATTGACGACCCCCAGTTGGTCTGACCCCTCGAATGGTCGGATCAAACATCAGTTACCACAAACCTGCGCTGCTGACGGATTGAGAGCAGAGGGGCTTCAGCCCAAAGCCTCTTCACTCTCCACTTGCTTTAACAGATAACTCCAAGCTTTCAAGTAAAACATCTTTAAAACAATCTGCCTAATAATCTACAGCAGCATAGAGCTCTACTGAAACTCTCAAGAACATGAATATAAACCATGTACAGGAATGGAAAAACATGTTATACAACTTCAAAGAATTGATTTCAGTTTGAAGTCTGCAAATTAAAGTTATTGTATCATTACGCCAATATATTGAAAACACCATTGGATGTCTGGAGGTGTAATTTAATTACATGCTGGTAAAAAAGCTAAATGGATTCTAAGAGGCCACCTATCTTTGGAACACATGCACTTTTACATGTCATGCCCATTGAAGAGGGCACTTAAGACAAACCCGAGTCTCTCGAATGGTAATTGCGTGCTGAAGCACAGAGAGCGTTCTGTGTTTTAGCCAACATTTGGTATGCCATAGTCTCGTGCTATAATAGAAACATGATGTACAGAGTGGCGTGCGGTGGAGAAACCAGGCTCTTGTTGCTTACGGGTATCACATATCTTAGCAGAGTTTTAGACAAACTGGTTATGAGGATAAAAGCAAGTATTTGAGCAACATTTTGCTGGGATCTGTTTCTGTGTGGTTGGGTTGCGAGTTGGGTGTCACCAGATGCTTGTTTTACAGGTGTTACTTCTTCACTCTATAAGCTAATGCCCTAGCAGACATTTGACCTATTGTTACCCAGAACAATGTACCAAGCTATCAGTTACACGTGTTATACTTGAGAAGACAATGACAGACAGAATCTGAGTATTGGGAGATAGAAATGGGCACTGGTTTCAATGTACTGCTGCAAATTGAGGGCATGCCCCTGCAGCTTAAGTTTAAATTCATGTTTTAAAACTGCAAAAGTCTTGAAATCTTATCTTTTGCTATTTTCTATATGATGTTTATACTTGCCTACATACTGAGCATGCTTAGCTGCATACTAAGCATACTTGAAGCTTTGCTGGCACTGCTTAATTACTTACAAATAAAAGTTTCACAAGTATATCCAGCACTGTTTAGCTATTTACATATTGAAAATGGTCTTCTGTTAATCTAGTCTGAATACATTTTGCAGTAATCAAAGAAATGATGAGACATTGAGTGGCATGGTTATCTCTGACCCTCTCTGATCGCCTGAAGCCATCCTGTTGGTAGTCAGTTACACAAAGCTGTCACATATGTTTTTCATTTTAAATCTAAACAATAACTTGTTATGTTCCCATTTGAAATGCCTATATATTCCATCTTCCAATACAAATGAGGAAACGACATAGTTCATATTTATGTGTTTTCTCACTAAACTCACCTGGGCAATAGAGTAGTCGGAGGAGTTTGCGGCTTGCAGACCCTCGTTGCCCGAGATTCCTACGCCGACATGAGCCGTCTGAATCATTCCAACGTCGTTAGCACCGTCACCGATGGCCAGCGTGATCACCTTCACCTGTTTCTTTACCATCTCCACCACCTCGGACTTCTGAAGAGGAGATACTCTGTAAAAAAAAAAAAGAACAGTATTCAACACATTTTTAAACAATGGGTATTTTGACATTTTTTCAGATGGCATTCTTGAGATTGGTGTTTGAAAAAACGTTGTATAATTGTCGGCAGAGGTGTGCAGACAGTCATGTCTAACTGTGTGAACACTTTAAGAATAAGCTTTTTGTGCGTAATATTTATTTGATCATTACAAACGAGCAGATGCCTGGGTAGCGATGAGAAGCCTGTTTGAATCTGCTGTTTTTCTATCCCTATTATAGCCAACATTAAAATAAATGAACTGTTTCTTGAGTTTAGCCCTGTACTTATTTCTTAACATATTACACTCAAGGATCAGTTAGTTCAAGTCATTATTTTTTACTTTTTGGATAAAGTCCTCTGTGTAAAAAACGACTACATTGTAGTGTCATAGTACAATAAAACCATACAACTCCAAAGAAGATGAATATTTTTTAAGAGGTAAAATACAAAAAATAAAGGTGGCATAAAAAGGACAGTTTGGGGAACCGTGCACTGCTATTTAAAATAAATAAATCTGCTGCTGTTTCTCCTTCCTCTAAGAGAGCCTGAAAGACCTTTCCTTCTGGGTCCATTAAGTAGAGCCAATTATAAGGTGATGGTTTGGAAATAATTTATAACTTCATTTATGAGGCTTCAACCTTGACTTTGAGTCCTCACTGACTGCAAAGTCTGTATTCTTCCATACAGCTTCCTCTCATAGCACCAGAGGTTCAGGGGTATTCTCCAGAGATGATGTCGTAAACTGCATGTCTGTCTTAAGCTGTGAAATTGTTAATGTTTATCTTTTCCGTGGTTTAAGAGGCTTCATTCATCCCGTGGTGTCTCTCGGTGCCCACAGAGTTTGCACAAGGCAAAGGCAGGTAGGGGTAGGAGGGGGGGAAGTCAATAAGAATGTTGATGCAATGTACCGAGTCATAAGGTTTGCTGTTGTTCTGAAAACTTGGTGCTGATTTCTGGCCTCAGACGCCGTCATGGTTGCTTAAGTACTTAAGTACTTCCTATTATTTATGTGGCCTGGGCAGTTCAACAGTGTACCTGCATAAAGTTGAAAGTTGCCATTTAAATTTATAACCACACACTTTTTAAACTGCTGCCATAAAATACTCACTGGCCAATCGACCTTTGTGGCAAATACATAATACTTTACAGTTTAACCACTCAACTTTCATCTGAATTTAATTCATTTTAAGCAAAAAAAATAAAAAAAATAAAGACTTGCTTTCTGCTTCTTATTTGTGAGCAGTTGTCTTCATTTAATACTATAATAAAATCTGTGGGTCTGGGGCTATCGGTCTGAACATTTGATGACATCGTAAAGTGGAACATTTAAGAATGTTCAGTCTCTACATACATATGTTTTTTGATGTGCTGCTTGAAAGTGGACACTTGGCAATGACTTCTCCTTGTGAGTAGTGTGCAGTACAGTGTGATACTTGAACACACATTTTGTGTGGTTTATTTAAGTTGCAGAAACAGATTGGGTACATAAAGTCTTTGTAGCAGGAAAATCGTTTTTCATTTTGGTCAGAAGAGTTTATTGTTCATTTAATTGTTTAAAGAATAAATCTTACCTGCAGCAAATGACAGCTTTACAGGACAGGGCGAGGTCCAGGAAGTACTGTCGCACTCCGAATGTGAGCGCGTATTTCAGAGTCGTCCCGTCAATAATGAGAGCAAAGTCGTTCTCCTTGTAGAGGGCATCTCCCAGGACTCCACAGTGGTGGCTCAGCGTTTCCCTCGTTCTCTGTGTAATGGAAAACAAGTCATAAATATAAGTTTAATTAGTGTAATAAGTCATCATCATTTAAAGCCTTCTGTGTTAGACTTGCAAGAAGAGATATATTCAAATATTATACAATTGTTATGATATTGGTCTGGCATCAAGGCTGCATAACAGATTCATAATATGTGTTGAAATTGAGATGATTTATGGAGTATAAGAACATGTCAAATAAACTTGTAAAACCATTGAATGTTTTTGTTAGTTAGTTGTATTTTCTTGTTTTTGATTGACACATGATGACTGTTAATCCAAGATATGAGAAGCCTAGAGAATGAGAAGGATTGATACTGAACCACAGTAAAATGCATTGCTGTTACATTGTAGAAGATTTGATCTGCTGTAGTGGGACATGCAACAAATGTATTCCCCTAAATTCCTCCAATGCTTGTTTCACCTCAGTTACTAGTGGCATTCATCGAAAAACAGGAAATATTCACCTCGTTCTCTCTCACATTAGAGTTCAATATATTTCTTGCTAATCCCAAACTGCTGCGGAACAGCTGCTCTAGAAATGTTTGATATTTATTATGTTTCCCATGCTCAGACCTTCTCCATGAGGTGATAACACAGACGAGTTCTGAGAATGGATCAGGTTTGCTTATACAGTATATACAGCTATGATGATGAGTGATGGTGAAAAGCCGTAAATATTAAACTGACAAGAGCATTTACTGTCCTGTTGGATGGAGGCATGTGGAGTGGATGGATGCAAGGGTGAGATCATCATTGAATTCATCATTCAATCATTTTCACCACAGATGGTGAAGCCATAATGAAAAAACTATTTCTGTGTGCAACCATTTTCTGAGGGACAAGTGTTTTTCGAATAACCTGAAGATTATTTTCCAGATTATTGCTTGGTGATTAAAATGTCAGAAGGTAAGGAAATATGCAATCTCAGCTCCAAGGTGATGAACGTAAATGTCTTGTTTTGTCGGAGCAAAATATTACGATTTTCAGTTTGATAATAAATATAACTAAGAAAAACAGGAAATCGTCATATTTGAGCAGCTGGAGAAAATCATTCCTTTAAATAAAAATGTACTTTAACAATTAAGACAAAATCCAAAATAGTTGGAGTTTATTTTTCTGTAGATTGACTTATCGATTATTTGAATAATCGCTGCAGCTCTATGCATGAAATGTTTTAATTTAATACGTTTATTTTGACAAAAGAAGTCAAAAAAAATATCTTCAGAAATAACCTGGCTTCATAAGTACAGAAATATAACAGAGGCCCCTTCTTGCAATGGAATGATATCTGTAATGCTTTACAGGTGTACACAGTTACATGACTCAAAATTGGCAGAAGCAAACAATGATACAATGCAGGATATCAAACCTAATATGACATGCAGACGCTCAAACAGCTGTAATCATTAATGTCGGCCATTAGCATTACTGAAGGAGGAGGGGGGTCCGGCTTGGTGCTGAGGTCAGATATGTCAGAGCAGTCCGATTGTACCACAGGGACCAGGCAACATTGGCTTGGCATAACAAAACTCTGAAACCCCAGCTTAAAGGAAATATTTGGAGACGGGCTTTACGTTACACAAAGCGAGAGAAGCAGAGTGAGAGACACGCACAGAAAGAGATGATGGATTAACAGAGGAGAGAAACTGAGCAAGAGGATACAAGCAGAAAGCAGCTGCGAGGACTTAACCAGCCCTGTTGGGGTCTGTAAAACAGCAAGGGACGGAGAGCAGTGTGTGTGTGTGTGTGTGTGTGTGTGTGTGTGTGTGTGTGTGTGTGTGTGTGTGTGTGTGTGTGTGTGTGTGTGCACAATTCAAGCTCTGATATCTATATTCCATCGCAAAGCAAAAAATGTAAACTTTACATGATGCTTTTAAGAGACATCTGTGTGTGTGTATGTGTGTGTGTGTGTGTATACCATATGTAGGAGGAAGATCACACTTTGCTCAGAGCACATACTATTAATCACATGCGATAAGCAAAGTTTACCATTTCCTCAAGTAGGATGGCCATTTAGTCCCTAATTTCCACCGAGGAATGTTAGCACTAATGCTACATGTCTCCTCCTAAAGCCTCTTTGTTATGGCTATAATGAGCAGTTTTGCCGATGTGACTAGCTAGTGTTTGGCTTTAGATTGGGTATGTGCTGTCCATTCAGAAATCCACAAGAGCTTCCCATTAAGACTGAGCTCTATTGTTGACATAGACACTTGTGATTTAGCCTACAGGACGTGACACTCGCGATGTGGAATCTGGGCATTTGTATGGATGTAATGTCCTCATCTTTATTAGACTTCTAAAGCCACCCACAAAAGAGACCTTGGACCTCAGTTACAAATGTACTTGTTTGTTACTTTGCTGAACTACAGCTCACCACAGTAAGTGAGTGTTTAGGCTGTAAATCATCATTTTCCAAACCAAAATTCCCAAGCAGCTTGTTTTCATTATTTGTATACAAGTTAAACACATACAAAAACATACAAAAATGTAAATAATGTGTGACTGTGTTTCATAAAGATTAATAGATAAACACTCAACAAGCGCTGTTAGCTCTCCACATTATTAAAGAGGCTGACTGGAAGACAGAGCTATTCGAAATGATATAACCGTACCTTTGAGACTAAGTTTCACTCGGGGAATTGCATTTTCTAGTGAGATTTATTACAGCACATGACTTAAACTTTGTCCAGCCTTTGATAAGCATTTATAAACACAACGAAGAGGGAAGACATGCTGCAATGACTCTCTCTCACAGCACAAGAGCACAGAGAATTACAGCCCTGCTTCCTGCTCCTCTGTGGCTCCTCAGTGCTGGAGGAGAGCTTTCTAACAAACTGCCTTGTGTAAGCATCTGTTCAACCACAGGAGAATGAGAGCTGACATTTCAAAGCGCCGGTCCGCATGCCTCATGAATGCACCGAGCCCAGATTTCTACCTAAACTTCATTTATCACGCTTAACGACTGGCTGACGTGAGTGAAGGCCGTCCGTCATGCCTCTGACTCCCAAAATTGGGTAGGTGTGTCAGGGCCTTAAAGATCACAACGTCCAAACTACTAAAAATACAGTAATCATATAATAGGTGCTAAATTGTAAATAAGTCATATCAATTAAATAAAAAAAACTGATTAAAATATGTCAAAATATGAATAACTCGTAAAGTTGTATTGATTCGAGTCTTGGCCTCTGATGCACCTTTGTTGTTTCGTTGTTGAATTAGCAAACACAGATGTGAATTGGAAATTTAAAAAGTGAGTAGAAATGACTTTAAATCATTTATCTACTGTAGAGTATGGAGTTTCTATTTATAGTCAGCTGTTCTGAAAAGGCTGAAAGATGCAGGCATGAGGCAAATGACAATCAGGTTACATTGTTTTAGCATTGAAGTTGATGGATTGCATGACTGACCCAAGAGAAACGGTTTGTGATGTTTGGACAAGAAGAGGCAAAAGTCCTAGTAAAACATTTTTGAAAATAATTGTGAGCATTGTTTCGCTTGGTTGGTTTGGTTTTTGGTTTTGTCAGCAATACATTGAATAAATACTCACATCAAGAGTGTCTTCATTGACCACAAGCATGCCCATGTTCTTGGTCAGTAGTCTGCAGGAATGTCCTATAAAGAAATAAAGAAAACAGGAAAGAAGCCAGTTTAGAAAAGTTGAAAGGACTGGAAAGTAAGCATTCAAGCAGGAAGTACTTTAAATGAATTCAATAACTACATCAAATTCTATTACTCCTTTGAGGTAGCTAACTTTACTGATCGGGGCCAAAACCCCTTGCACACACACCGATTGAATACATAAAAAGACAGACAAATGATCTAAATCAAAGAAATAAAGGACAAAACAGTACGTTGCAAAACGTTTTAAAGGTCACCAATTAAAATGTTACAGCTCAAAGCCAGTGTCTCAGGACATGACTAATGAGTTTGGTTTGCAAGAGTTTGTCAGTTTCCTGTTTTAATAGGCAGTTACAACTCGGAGTTACCCAACATGGCTCCCTGGGGAGCACTCCCTCAGCTCTTGCCCGGGACAGATGCTCTGGGTCACCAGCAAGGTGGTAGAGGGAGCCTCCGATCGGGGAAAACAGAAATGTTTCTCCAACCATGAGTGAAGCCTTCAGTTTAGACCCTTGGCTATGAAAAGGTTGCCATCTGTGGCATAACCACACACATATTTGTGGGCTTCAACACTTTGCTTCTGTCTGGAAGGGGATTTTCGTTTCTCTAAGGCAGTTACCACAAAGCCCATGTTTTGTGAATACATGGGTGGCATTTTCTGTGAGTGTAACTGAGATAAGATTATGCAGAAAATACAAAAACACACACAGTATTCACAGAGGGGGCCTTGCACGAGGAAATGAGAGGGTTTCACCTCCAGAGTCAAAACCAAACAAGGTCAGGTTCTGGCAGATTGTTTTCTTAAGTGCAAAGGGGCAAACGTCCAAAAATGTGCCAATGTGAGGAAAAATGTCTCCCCATCTCAACACTGCCTTCCCCCTCGTCAGTTCCTGCCACAGCCCTTCCGCTTAATGTGTTTACCTTAAGCTCATTTGACTGCCCTTTTTAATTTCACCAGAGAAAGTTGAATTCCTAGCCTTGCTCCATCTCAGCGGAACTAAACACTGCTCCCACAGGACTTGAGGAATGTGTAACAGGGACACTCCGATCACAGAGAACTTAAAAGTTGCCATAGGGGCGACATTAAATTAAAGACAAAAGGTTTAGTAACAGAGGGAAATCTTCATTTTGAGAGGAAGAACCTCAAAAAAGGAATGCTCATGGTGAAATAGGTGAGAAGGTATATTTGTGTAGGAAATAAGGGGTGTGTCTTTCTGCCAGGGATGATGCATCCTCTTGCCAAATGTAATATCATTTAAGCATTTCTTTATGTGCTTTTTATTTGTGACGCCTTCATAAAATTGTATAGTGTTTCCCGACAAGCCGAGTACGGGCACTTTCCTTTCACCAAATTCTGGTTCTGAACTTTCCTAAGAATTAAGTACATTTAAATCCCACTAACAAACAACTCGCAGCTTCAGAGCAAACATGGCTCTTTCCCCGGAGCCACTGAGCCGGAGTAGTTGTATATTATTTAATGACAGTTCAGGATTAGGGGCAAACTGAAGCATGACAGTCTTTACAGCCTTAAAAAAAACACGCATTCTTTAAATATCATTTTATTAGTAAAAGTATTAAACTCAACTGCATGTGTGCCAAATATTCTGTGCCAAGAGTGAAATTTGGGTGGTTCGGGCCACCTTGAAATGTAGAATAATCTCAATGTGATGGGCCAAATTCACCAGTTAAACGTGGCAAAACGTGCACCATTAACCCTGGCAATGGGGATCGTCTTTCAGTGAGGAAAATAGTAAAAACAAAGTCAATATTGAGCTGAGGTTTTACAGAGCAACTTAGTCAAATGGCGGTCCTGTAAAAATACTTCCAGCGAGCATGTGCTTCTGCATAGCTCCCGCACATCTGGGCACGGTGGGCACAAAGGGCTGATTCAGGCAGGCCACAGTGGTAGGTAGGTAGAGCAACAACGGAGGTACTTTTCGTATCTATTTATCTGGACTCTGTGTTCAAATGTTGGCTGTGTTCAATGTGAATCAAGCACATCTAAGAGCGGCAACACCATTAAGGAGACTAAACTGGAACTGGTGGACCAGAGTTCCCCTTTCTGATAACATCTGCAGGGCTAAAACCCTCTGGGGGAGCCAGATACGTGAGAGCTGCCTCCCTGTGTACATATGCATGTTATTTATTTCATGTCGGTGCAGTAAGCTCATACATCATCTAGCGTTCTGCGACAGATGCTTTTGCTAGATATGTGTGACAGAGAAGCATTCAGCTTGTCAGTAGTTTGTCTCGCCGGGTGAAGAATGACACAGGGTGCTGACTGGGCTACCTGTAAGAAGCTGGCATGCAATCTATCACAACACGGATCAGGTTCAACGGGGTTTTTTCCATTTGGTTCGAGACCAAGTACACAAGCAGTGCATGTCATGATGCAGACTTATTAATGAAAGCAAGTGTGTGCAGACAGTGTTAAATGCACTATACCAATTTAATACATGGAAGTCAGTTTATATTTGTCTTTTTCGTTTAGCTTTGAGATTTATTTTTTCTAACAGAAAACCTGCGTTGCCAACTGCAGATGGGAGGTTTGAGAGAAGTGGGCATTTCGGAGCCAGGAGTCTAATTAGTAAACATTTTAGTTGTATTATGGGAAATGTAGCATCTACTGTTCTTGGCTCTTGACCCAAACCGGTGTCTAAAAGTCATGTCATGTCATCTAGTGAGTCTCAACTTTACAGCAGTGCGTGTGACTCTCACCAATGTTAATAGCTGTTTCCTGTTTGTCCCCTGTCAGGATCCAGATCTTGATGTCCGCCTTCATCAGAGTCTCGATGGTTTCTGGCACTTTATCCTGGAGCTTGTCTTCGATGGCGGTGGCCCCGAGCAGCTGCAGGTTCTACAGCAGAAATGAGTAGAGAAACAGAAAATAAGTCTATAAAAAAAAGCCAGCACATGGTGAAAGCGGAGGAAAGGCCTTTAGATCGTCATGTGTCAGAGAAACATGTGCGCCCGGATTGTGTCACTCGTTCAGGCATGTTTTCCCCTTCATCAGCTGCTCTTGTTTATCACCCAGGAAAACCACCACGGGCTTAAGGGGTTTTCGTTACTGAGTGTGTTTTCATCTGCAGACACGATTTCTCCCTCACAAAAAACACCCACAAAAAACGGTTGGTGTTTTTCCCAGGAACCTCGGTGGTTATGTGGAGCTGGTTGTGGGCTCATATGGGCCAACGATTTGACGAGACCCAGGGGTGGAGGGGAGACAGGAGCCAGCAGCAGAGGAAAGGCAGGGGAAGCTCTTTAAGTTGTGACCTGAGCCGTGCTGCCCGTACATCTGTAGCTCTGTCCTCTATAATCATTTTTGAACCACTGAGCACGGAAAACATTGCCTGAGGAAGAACACGACTATAGCTGATGAGACCTCATTTGCGTGTTTGATGTGAGTTGTTCTCTTGTTCCTGTGGTTGTTTTTAAAAAGGCACTCTTTGTGGCTTATGAAGAACTTGGATGAGGATTTTAACCTTAAAACCAGGGTGGGACCGTAACAATCAGTGAATAGCCAAAGGGCGGTAGATTCTCTCTTGGGTTTTAAGAAAATAAGTTTAACTTTGCTAACTGAGGCTGCAGTGTAGCAACTTGTATCAGATGGCCGTCTGATGGTCTTCCCGGAAAGAGTCTGTCTAGTTCCTGGAAGTTGGCTTAGCTATAGTGCAGAAATAATCCATTTAAGCTTGAAGAAATCAGAAAGGTTCATGAGAAACGTTTCCTTCAAAGTCTTACTTCACATGTACTTACTAAGGAAGCACATACTGTAATAATATACGAGGGTAGGAAATAGTAAATATGATTATTATACCAATTTATATTAGTGACAACCATCTATAATAATTCATAATTATATTTAATTGAAGGATTAGGTCATAATAAAGCATAGTTCTCTCAGTTTAATCAATAACAAAGAAAAGTCATGTTTTGTATCACTAACTAGTTCCTATTCAGGCTGAGCAAGATGCACTTCATCACATCCTGACATGTCATTACTCTCATTGGAGCATTTTGTGTATGAGATGATGAAGGAGCAACTTCAGATGACTTTAAACTGCCAAGTGTTTTATCTTTTACATTTCACTGCAACTCCATTGTGCCCCCTTGTGGGGTTACTGTATGCATTTCTAAATATGGAAGGCCATGAACCCTAAACCCTGTTAGCATCAGTGCCACATTAAGCAATGCACATTACATTTTCCTCTCTGAAAGCTTTTATGTTTTTTTCATGATTGATTAGCTCCATTTGTTTTGGGCAGGCAGGAGCAGTCATGAGGAACGTGCCAAGTGGTTGATTAACGACTGTGGCTTCCTGTGTTGACCACCACTTCCACAAAGACCCACCTCACAGAAAACAAATTCCACCTGCTGGTGAACCCGATCTTTTAAAAACGTTTTTTTCCACTATTCCACGTGTGATCGCACTGACCCCAATAGCTAGCCGTATCTTTCTTAAGATGAACTGAAGCCAATGAAAAATGTGTTTTGTATGCAAACCAGAACAAGGAAAATCACCCCTCAAAAAAAGCAGGATGCCGGGATTAGCAGGAAGCCATGGCATCAGGAACTGACACCACACAAACCTTCTCTATCAGCTCGTAGCTCTCCTCCAGCTTCAGGGCTCTGTTCTGCAGGGAGGTGCCGGCTCGGTGTAAGATCTCCAGCCACTGCTGATAGGACGACTCACTGACGTCTGCCACCGCAAAGCACAGAGTGCGCAGTCCTGTAAGAGGAAAACAGACTCAATACACCTGGGTAAATGTCATGACTTTACATTATAAAACTGAGATTTAATGACCAGATTAAACTCTACATGTATGTAGTTCAGAGAGATCTGTGCATTCAAACTGTTGGTGATCTCTAATCTGTACTTTTTAAGCCCCTCTATACAATAAATACTACATTTAAAGCTATTTTTAGCATGACCTAACTCAACAGCTAACACAATATATATAAATAACCAGATTATATTCAGATAAATACATGAAATTCAAATATCTTTGTTCATATCTAGATTCTATGTTCAACGCATATAACAGATATGTGCTTATTCATAGGTCATTGTTTTTGCCAGAGAGAAAGGAAGTCATATCTTATTCAAGCCTCTCAAAATAACAGCTACTGAAGATCTTCACACTCTGTCCTGGATGCTATTTTTAGCCGACATCAAATATTCCCAATGACATCATTTTGCTGGTGTCTCACAAGGGGGCAGTATGGACACAGAACAAAAAGGAGGGTCTGATGCAGTTTCTTTCAGCTCCACTGCGTACGTTTAACACAGCTTCATCATACTCATGTAGGGTTTCATACAGTAATGACATAGGAGGATAGGCTCTATGGAAACAACTTCTATTGCTGCAGCTGATGATCCAGTGGTGATAATAAGGGAGGAATACAGAAGTGTATACTGTAGATTTGAAGCATCCTATGGTGTTTAACTTTTGGCAGACAGGGGGCGATGTGAGTCCACTCACCCTCGGTAGCAAACTGTTCCAGGTGTTTCAATGTGATCTCTTTGTACCTCGAGCTGTCTGCCAGGCGGTCATAGATCACGGTGTCCTGAAGGGGAAACACACACTCATTGGTTATTGACACCCCGAGTGGAAGGAAAGGAACCTCCTGGACTAAAGCACACATGTGTGTTTCAGCTAGAATCCAGCTCTCTCTGTTCTCAGTTGCCCTTTCATCTCCTAATCAGATTTGCTTGAAAAAGCTTTTTATACTGAAATAATCATGCGCTTAAAAAGCTGTGAGGGAACAAGGGGGTGAATCGATACTCGACAAACGTATCTGGATCCTGAAATGGATCAACTATTCTGCTAGGAATGTGTTTTAATAACATAAAAAAATCTAATCATTAACAAGACTAACTCATAACAGAATATAGAGCAACGTATTACCCTAAAATGTCAATTGCACCAAAAAGATGATGTTATACTGAATGTATTTGTACAAATGAGGGATAAGGCTGGTCGGATATTTGCTAGTAGCCGAGCACCTTCCTGTAAATGTTTGTATAATCTTTATTTCGCAGAGATACCCATGTGTGAAATATGGTGATCTAGCTTTATGCTTCTGAGCCTTCGACACTAGGGTTGGTGTGAGTGTGTGTGTGTGTGTGTGTGTGTGTGTGTGTGTGTGTGTGTGTGTGTGTGTGTGTGTGTGTGTGTGTGTGTGTGTGTGTGTGTGTGCGCGTGCTGTAATGGTGATGGGCTGTCATGCGTTGCCATGGAGAGAGACAGACACTCACAGCTCCTTTGCAGTAGAGGCGGATCTTCCCAGATGGAGTGCGCATGATGACTGACATCCTCTTCCTCGTGCTGTGAGAGAAAAAGGCGAGAAAGGGAGAAGAAGGGTGGGTTAATGAGAGAGAGCAATGGAATCGCATTATAGGGTGTTACAGCCACTATAGCAAATTATCACGTACGGTTTCGAGCGAGCAAATGTCTGCTGAATATAGAAATCACACTACGGTCACACTATTAATTAGTAGAAATCATTCGAGCAAAAGGAAGATGATGAACTCTGATCTTCTTCAAGGATCATACATTTACACCTTTGAAAACAATATAGCTGTTATCAGTAGTTTACCTTGTAAACTCCAGCACATGAAGGAGTTCGTACTTCTCCTCTGTCCCGGGCTGAATCCAAAGAGAAACACGTGTTAACATACTGAAAAATAGGCCACTTCTCATCCTCACTCAGGGAACTCATCTGCAAGCCACTCTCCTCAAATCAGCCTTAATTATACCTTAAATGTGTTTATCAGCTGCATGCACTGGGCCGATGGAGGCAGAATAACAAGGTCAAATTAAATTAACTTCCTCAGTTGTAGAGACCGCGAAGTACAAGACGGAGTGATTGAATAGATGCTGAGAGCTTAAGAAGGCCTAATAAAGGTTAAGTTGGACAAACATCTTAGAGACAAGATGTTCTCAGCAGAAGAACAAATCATTTGAAAATGGCCTTGGCCTTTCTGCCTCCGCCTCTTTGAGTGCAATCATCAGGTTAGCCAATTAAGGAAACAGCAGGATGAGTGACCGGATCTCTGGAGAGGACGCACGCAGCAGCAGCAGCTCAGGATGTAATCAAATGTAATGTTCAGCATTTTCCATTTTCATTTTCTAAAGACTGTTTTTTTAAATGTATGAACAAAATAAAAACAATTTCCAAGAGAAATATTTAAGTAACTGTCCAGGGACACTACAACTTCATGTTCAATTAGTTTGATGTGCATTGTGGTTTATAAGCATGTATGTAAAACTGCTTCTATAAATGTCACTAATGTTCTTGTTTGAATTCTTACGTGATGTGCTTGAAGACTCCGTATTCATTATTTATTCAACTCTCTTTGTTATCTCTGCTATTACTGCATTTGTGCTGCTGCTGCAACAACTGAATTTCCCCTCTGAAGGATCAATAAAGCTTTCTCTTATCAGATCTCATGTAGATGGAGCAGCACGCGGTTAGCTTAGCTTAGCTTAGCATACAGACCGGAGCTAGCCTAGATCTATCATAAGAAAAGGCTCTAAAATGAAAGTAATGTCTGGTTCGATGAACCCTTACAAAAGTGCAAGTGTAAAAACAATTGACTTTTCACTGGGGGTCGTCTGTAGTACAACTTGGTGAGGTGCAACTTCTACAAGTGTAAACTTTTATAATATTCCTTTGATAAATAATCATAAGAAAATGTCAAAACTAAAGCTGTATTGTTAAGCAGAGCACATCCTAATGTTTGTCTCTCCTGTGTTTTATGTCTGAACATTATGCATATTTCAAAGCTTATGAACTGGTAAAGAAATGACATTTGTGGAAAGAACTATCCATCAATGACAGAAAAAAGCTTAAAGTATAAAGCAAGTACCTAAAATGTCAGCAAATACCCTTGTTATTAGTGTCACACATTTATCAGAGAATAGATAGTCTCTGTTTCTGTTTGAGGTCATACTACAGGGTCATGATACTCATATTAAAGATGAAGTGGAGCCATCCATCAGTACCAATAGCTTGCATGCCTTTCATTCAACTTGCAGAGCCCAACTTACCATTTGCACAATCACGCTGTCTGGGGTTCGACCAGAAAACACAAAGCCAAGGGTTTGTGCTGCTCTCACCAGTGCTCCTTCATCTTTAAAGAAAAACAAAACCCACACTGTTTCAGATAAACACACAAAACCGTCTCAAGATAACCTGGAATTTGAACATTAGAAATAATAACCATGTATACATTTCACAAATATAACTAGAAGTCTCAAAACATGTCCACAATGAGGGCAGTGACAGAGCTGTGGACCAGCTTGCATGAGGATGCTGCAGGGCGAGAAAAAAGCTTTCTGCTTGTTTTTTACAGTTCACTTAACCACCCTTGTCTTTGCAGCTATTCCCCGCTCTACTCCAAACCTCAAAGCTCCATAAGACCATGATTATGTTAAGCAATCAGGCAACAAAAAGTCATCTCTCTTATCAAGAGCAAAATGTTAGATGAAGAGAATCAGCAGTGCTTTGTGCGGTTATTGTAATGCCCTTTTAATCAATCGATATTCTTGCCCACTAATGTACTGATGTAGCCAGAAACATTAGTACACTTATTTTATTTAGTTGTGTTTGATAATATACTGAAAGGCGTGTCAATCAATTCGGCAATAACATAAGCTTCAGAGGCTGTCTTTTTTATTGTTTCCCATGAGAATACCTTCTTTGTTTACATTTGGATCAAAGATCTGAGCCTTAAAGCATACTGACAATTTCAGACTTCATTAGGAAGGAACTCATTTTAAGGAAATGTACAAAGTGCTGCTAGGGGCAACCACTGTGTCTAAGTGGTGAAGCCATTGTGCAAATGCTTTAACCTGCAGTCATTCTCGTAAAACACGAAAGCACCACTATGTAGAGTTGCAGTTGTTGTTTGACCTTCTCAAACACCAATGGTTTTGTGGAAAGGAAACACGTTAAAGTGGTAGATGTCTCACTCCTGCATGTGAGAGAGACTGAGGGATCAAAGTGAGGCTCGAAGAATCAAAGTGACACACACCATGCTTTCTGTAAACAGGATATTTGATTTTCTAATGCAACCCCTGGCTCTCCTGCACTGATGACTAGAAAAAAGGCTTAATGAACTACAGCTACACATAGGCTGTAGTGATTGATCCATTTGCAAAGAGGTCACTAGATGGACAATTCAACATATCAAGGACACATGACCATTGATGGAAAGCACCTTGAATCAAAATTAGAGAGCTGCAAGCAATTTAAGTATTGCAATTTATGGACATGTAGATTCCCTTTAACTTAGCCACCTAGCAGCAAGAAAAGTAACAGCTAATCATGACATGGAGAACAATCTGCAGTGCTTTATTAGCAATAGTTTCGCATGATTGTAACTAACAAGCCCTCAGCTTCAAATCTAAAAATGTAATTCTGATTAGCTGCTTCATATCAAAATACCTAGTTTTAGTCATGAACACTTGAAAAGTCTCTGCAAAGAAAAATCCCAAATGATAAAGTGTGTGCAAATATGAATCGTCAAGCTGCATTCCACTAGCTGTGCTCTGGAGGTGTGATCTACCTGGAGATGCAGCCTGGTAAGTGATTTTTCCATCGATGCGCTCGGGGACTGCAGTGTGACAGATGGCCATCATGGTCATGAACTCCAGGATGACAGCAGCTGTAGGCTACAGAAAGAGAAAGGGCACTTTGACTTTTAATGTTCTTTAACAAAACATGTCACAACAAAACAGAAACATAACCACTTCGAGAGATACTGTAGAAAGAGAGAGCACTGATAGACCGTGTATGTATGGACTGTAGATTTGTGTAAAAGTCCTAGCATTTGTTGAAACCTTTTAGTGGCATGAGGTTTACTACATCAGGAGGGTTCAGTCCAACCTATGTAGTAGATAAAGTAATCCACAAATCAAACATTTGGAATTGTTTGGAAATACTGTTGAGCTTACTTTCAGACTAACATCTCCATGCAATGTTGCAGAGAGCCAAACCACAAGTGCTGGAAATGTAAAGCTAGCTCTTGTTTCAGACCATAACACAGGCAATGTCATCATTAGTGTTGTTCATCAGGCTGGGAAGGCACACTGCGTATCTTTGTGTGGTTTGCAACCACTGACAATATTTAGAAAATATGTAAACTAAAAAACTAAAGAGTACCATAAATCCCAAACAGTTTATATTAGCAAGGCAGGTAACAGCAAAACAAATGAGAAAAGTGAATAACCTATGAACAACTGTTTAAATAAAACTAATTAGTTCACTTCAGTGAAAAAAAGTGTATTCTCCATGCCTATCATACCAAAAGCTCAACTGATCAACTTCAAACCTGTCTCTCTGGTACAAATTCAGTATTTTCATTCAGGAGTAAATAACCTTAAACTAAAGATCTGTCTTAATTTCCATTAACTCAAATTGTTCAAAGCCACCTTCCGGTTTGTCAGTTTTTGAAACACATGTGGCTCCACTGTTCAGCAGTAAAGGTTCGGCCAGACTAATGACTGCTGGTCACAAGCCAGAAGGATCCCACGCACAGACATCTGCTCATGCATGTGCGTGCAATATAAACTTGTTTTGGTTAATGAAAAAAAGGCCTAACCTGTACACTGAGGGCATTTTACATTAATATGGGGAAACGTATGACTAACTAGCCCAGGGGAAGGCTCGGACAGGCATCTGCTGAGGCTCCTGTCTGAGTCTGGAGGACCACCAGCTTCTGGTCGGTGAGGCAGATACCAGCTAGCTTCAGGGCTACGCTGGACTTGAACCATACAGCAAACAGCAATCGGGCTGCTGTAGGTTGTTAAAAATGTGTTCAATAGCAAGATAAGCTCATGTTATTAGCTCACCAACATTATAAACACCAGATGAACCAATGGTGACGTAAAGACTCTACAGCAGATGTAACAAAAAAATGCCATGTTATGTATTGTTGACTGCTCATTACTCAAAAACATCTGCTGTTTTCCTCTCTTCTCCAAAAAGATCTGTGTACACACGCACATGGTATTGTTACATTTGCTCTTTCTGTTGGCCATGGCAACTCTGATGAGAGAGAGGTATGTTAATGGGAACAAAGGAGAAAATGAATGGAGGGGGGGGCAAATCAAAGGGCCGGCTGTAAAGGAAAGCACACGGAGTCTATTACAGTCCATGTGGCTGTGAGAGCCCCTCTGCTTTCTAGCAGCATGCTAATCTGGTCTGGGTTGACAGGTATCCTCTGAAGGACATGTCAGAGTGTGTGTATGTGTGTGTGTGTGTGTGTGTGTGTGTGTGTGTGTGTGTGTGTGTGTGTGTGTGTGTTTGTTTTAGAAATAGTCCAGCGGCCAGCCCATAAAACTCTAGTAAAACCAAAACCTGTTGTGTTTTAGCCTTGGAGAGTGTCAGATTAGCAGTCTCCCCCTGATTTGCTAATGCTAAGTTAACATAACTGTCTCCTGGATCCAGCTTCATTAAATGGACACAGATAGGAGTGGTATTGATCAACTCGCCTGACTCAGCAAAACAAAATAGTTAACATATTTCCCAAAGGTTAGGGTTATGGTGTGAGGAACGCATGAGGGTCCTCACAAGTATGTAACACACACATGATTGCTAACCAGATAACCTCAGCAGAGAGTGCAGGGCACGTTGTGAGCGTTGCTCTTATGGCACAATTAGAAGTGACAGCTAATACGGTGCTGCCAGCCGTCACCCCCACTGACTGTTGGGTAATCTTTGCCAGGGTAACAGTGACAGACACTCATCACTTCAGACGTGGCCAGTGTGGAAAAAGTTGAAGGGTCAAGAGAAAATGAAGCACAGTGCCCGGGCCAGACGAGCGAGCGAGTAAACAAACACCCACGGAGCTGCTGGAGCTCTGCGGGCGGAGAACATGTCCAGTGACTCAAGAGAACATGAAAAGCACCAGGGGGGATGTTTATTTTTGTCAGCACTGTTAATTCCCCTCTCCCCCTCAATACTGTATCAACAAGACTCCTACGAATAGCCTGCGGCTAGGGCTGCTCAATTAATCGTATTTTAATCGCGATTACGATTATGGGTTGCAACGATTACGAAAACAACGTAATCTAAATAAAACGATAATTTTTTTATTATTACTTTTTTTTTTTTTGGTTTTTCAGTTGAATTATACTTAAAATGTCAGGGTAATCAACTGTTAAAAACATACTGTTCACATTTTTTTCTCCGATAAATGGATGTTTTCAAAGTCAACTAATAATCGCAATTACAATTATTGACCCAAATAATCGAGATTATGATTTTTGCCATAATCGAGCAGCCCTACCTGCGGCAACACAAAAGTGTTGTTAATGATAAGGATTAGTAATGTTTAAGTAGGATGTACGCTGAAGGCCATAAGGACAAAGTGTGAGAACCTGTGAGAACCTGTGAGAACGTAAGGTGTTAAATGAAATGTATGGGTTTGTGGAGCATCTATGTGGCACACAAGGGAGAGGGAAGCATTGATAGCTTGAAAGTTGTAGATTATGTCGTAGTGTTATCGTATTCAAGTAGATACGAAAGAATAGTGCAACATTGACTTCCTGGAGTCCTGTCATCCCAGGAAAAGACTCTAGGAAGTTACTGCGGCAAACCAGGATGTAACCCGGAATTTATCGTTTTACGCACCGCGCTCCCCTCCCTGCAGAGCCTACTGTAAACAACAGGAAGTGCATAAGTAGAGCGAGGAGGGTAATAAGGACCCCCACCACCCTCATGTAGTATGGATGTGCTGTTACATTTCAAACACTGAGAGAATGAGGACGAGCTTCTTCCCACAGGCTTTCAGAGCCTTAAACAATGCAATGCAAACTCTCTCGAAGGAAAATTCACTCAAGGACATTCATGTATATATTAGACTGTAGGCAACATGGAATAATTCCATTCATGTATACACTAAAGCCAATGTATCTGTGCTTTTCAGATTACCTTTAATTCAATCCATGACTTTTAACCAGGTTTACTATTGTGAATATATTTTGCTCACTTTATTATATTCCCTCAAGTTTATTTTTTCTGTATTTTTGCACACTGTTTAGGAGTTTGATGCAACATTTCACTCTAAGTTCTGTATATGTTACCAAAGAAATCTTTAGCCAGATTGCCATTTCCTCCTGTTTTCAGTTGTTATGCTAAGCAGCTGCTGGCTGTAGCTTCATATTTATAGCAGCAACACAAGTGAAATGTATCTTATTCTCTGCAATAAAGCGTAAAAGAGTTTTTCCCTGAAAGTCTTATTATTCCTTCATTAGTGGGCCATTATTGAGTCACACATATTACATTTCATATTATATGACAGCATCAGGACAGAAGCCTTTATAGAAGGTGACTAGAAGAAGGGAAAGACTATGACTCACCAAAGTGCTACAATATTCAGACATCATCAAATGTTCATCAGCACAACAAATAAATAATAGGAAGAAATCATTACGATGGATTTAGAGAGGGTGCTGTTTCCAAACAGTGGTTGGTTATGCAGTATAATTAGCAGTGTGCACGGGGCTATCAATATGAAACTAAAGCAGAATCCAGACAAACTCAATGTGTGGAGAGATTGCGCTGTCATAACAAAGCAAACATCAGTGGGATTACTCCTTTCCCTGGGCGGTGCTACTGTATGTAATTAGATGTGACATTTTGCCTCCCCCACGCTGTTCTGCAGCTGAGTGACTCAAGCAGCCAATCAATCACAGTGTTCACCCATTTCATTACCACAGGTGGCTTTTACTGCTAAAGTCCTGTGACAGATTTCTAATGCACGTACCCAGTTTTAATCAAAAGACACAACTGCTATACATTTTATTTTCTGATGTTCTTTTTGAGCAGTCTTCATATTCATACATTCACACTAATGTAATCACTCTGCAGCAGTTCAGTTCCCCACAGTGGATAAGCAAATAGGCAACTCTTTATCCTGTCAGAATAATTAGGTTGTTTACCTGCCTGTGTTTACAATGCTCGTTAATTAAATAGTAATCTACCCCTCAGTTGGATTTTAATCGAACAGATATTAAAGAGTTAATTTATATGTCCAAACATGTCATTTTGATAGAAGTAAAATGACTTAAATTAAGCATGCCATTACCATCATAGCATTTTAATAATAATAATAAATTATTTTTCTATAGCGCTTTTCTTGAACCCAAGTAAAATTAATTTAAATTTTAAAATGAAAATGTTCACCACACATAAAGACAAGTCCACTAAAGTCCACTTTAGTTGACAAGATGTCCTTACACAACCGCACACCATTACACAATCCTTCTTAGTTTTGTGCTAAACAGAAAGCAGCCATCACACGGGTGGGGGGGGGACCTTGACATTACTTACGTGATTACTTTGGAGGTTTTCCAGTAAGCTCGGGTCATTAAATCCCTCCTCCTCCGATGAGTTGGTGCTGTGGCTGGAAAGAAGAGACAGGAAAGTCAAAAAGACAGAACACACTGGAATACTTAATAACTCTGACACCCAACTGGAACGTCTTGCTGTGATACAAGATTAGTAAAGCACATTTAATTCATTTGCACTGTTGTCAGGGCATACTCCGACATCAACAATGCTTATGACAACGGCCGTTTTTAAGAAAAGTCCAACTATTTAACGTCTCTTCCAAGTACAATAATAGGCATGACATTAGAGTTCCTTCTTTTGGAACCTCAATAGAATATGGTAAAAAAAATTCCAACACATTTTAAGCAAATGCTCTATAATGATGTTGTCCTCACTGTGCAGCCTGCCAAACAAGAGCACACAGTATTCCCGCCCACAACTTGAAGATGAAACTGCAACTAACATCTATCGTTATTCTGTCTCCAGCTGTATGTGACGTATCAAATTGTTAATTTCATCTGGCGAACATGAAACAAAACTATCTTATATGACAAGAAAAGCATCAAATCTAAACCCGGAACCAGGGAATTCCTGAAAAAAATATGGAAGCTATTTACTGCTTATCGGAAATAGTTACTAAATAATATACGTTAATCATCCCAATATTATCTCAGCTCAAGATGAGACCACAATACTGATCTGAAACTGGTGTTGACCAGTACTGTCTGCCAACATTATTGACGTTTGATAAGGAAAGTATCAATGCAGACAGAATGCAAATGCAGGTTCCCCCTGGGTTTTAGTCATATGATGTACAATGCAGGCAGATGCAGGATCATCCTGAAATGGGACATTATTATTTCACGATGCAAAAAGAATCCACAGCCATTTGTGTTCCTCTTTAAATATATATATATATCATTTGCTTTCCCTTCAGTCATTCCCATGAATAACAAATGGTGTTCCCCTACTTTATAAATGAAACAATGCAAGAGGAATTGTGAACTGTACGCAGTTCCTCTTGCATTGTTTCATTTATAAAGTAGGGGAACAACACAGCAGGCTGAATTTCTGGCAGCTAATAAACACCATATTACTCATACAGGAATCAAATCCTAGTAAATCACTGGAAATAAAGTAGTCTCATATTTGTCCCAGAAATTATTTGTGTTATTGGCAAGATGCAAAATAGTTCAATATTTTTCAATCCATTAGGAATAAAGCATAAGAAAATATGATACAATCTTTCATCAAAAACAGAGTCATGCTGAACTGGAACAAGATTTGAGGTTGCAGACATTTTTCATTGAAAAAATAAAAATATGTTTTTTTCTCCATTAAATTGTAACTAGCGGCTCGCTTGCCGTCCAGCAGGGATCGATTAATGATTCTGTGATAAAAAGAGTCCTATAGCTCAGGCAGACAGCAGATTTGTACGTGGCACTGGGGCTTGATGGAAATGTTACCGAGGCTGCCATTAGTCTTTATAATCCCACAGGGTACACTGTTCGGATCCCTAAGAGCCAAACAGCCAGTAATACTTCCATCTACTGAACCGCCGAGAGGTTTGAGAGGAAAGAAATAAAGGAGAAACACAGCAAGGTCATAAACAACAAGGCTGCAGGTGATTTTGCGTTACACCTTTGTAGATTCACTAGAGAAGAGGGAAATGTATCCCACTTTATTAATGCTTTATTAGAATATGTCAAGAAGAAATCAGCAATTAAAGACTGCATTTGCTCCACGTGCGTATTATAAAAATATACTGAGGGAGGATGTTTTTTCTGTATCACAAACTGTGAAATAGCTTTTCTGAATAAAGCATGTTAGCAGCCTTAAAGAGCCCTATACGAATATGAAAGTGAAAACAGACAGGCAGAAAATCTATGGAGTCATTATTATTGTGTATAAGCCTTGTACAGGGAAGGGGGCCCTAAGCTTTCTCCTTCTGCAGCAGGAGCTCAGTAAGTCGATTGTCTTGATAACATTTCTTAGGCTAGGAGCTCGATGTGGAGAGCGGTCAGCTATTGATTATCTGCCAGCACGCAGAGGTCCTGTCACCATGGGAACAAGGGTGCTGGCTGTTCACAGTAAACAGCTGGGGAATGGTTGCTGATCAAACCTGTTGTGCTTTCCTGTAAGAAATACATTTACAACTAACCTGTGTCGAGATGAAAGTGTTTGCTTGGAATGATTAATGACTGTTTTTGTGTTTGTTTTGTAACTATCATCAAGCAACAAACCACTACTTCTCCTTTGTCCTATGTCCCTAAAGTGTTTTGAGTACAAATAAAGCCTTTAACTCAGCAACCTTTAGTATATTTAACAGTTGTTTCAGGGAGAATAAAAAGCAGCCCAAAGAGACATGCCTTCGTGGAAGCTGGCAACTTCCTTTAAAGAAGCAAGATTCAACATTTGTTATAATAGGCACTTACAAATAGGCCACAATCCCCCATGCAGAATGGATGAGACACGCCCATGCTGTTACTGCAGATCTCCACACTGTAGCAGACGCATCTCAGAAAGGACTGTGTGAATGTGTGTGTTTGTACGTGCAAGAGAGAGAATATGTGGGAGTGTAGCTACCACCTCCAAAGTTAGTTTGATGTTAACTGAGAAGGAGAGTGTGCTGCACAGCTTCAGCCTCAACACAACAACCTGCAAAGACTTATACCTGCTAAATGTAGTGCCGGTTAGGATGCCACAAAATGTAACCACTCAGAATCCAATACTTATTCTCATACCGACAGTATATATATATATATATATATATACACACACTGGTATTGAACATTTGTTCTTTCACATCAACAGATATTCACAGTGAATCAAGAGCCACAGTCACATACAACACGTCCAAAGTGTACTCAAAGCACAAAGAGGTACACACATTGAGGTATTGTGTTCAACGTCACGTGTTCCACAAGGCAAGGCAGCACTAATACATCACAGAGGCCAGGAGTGAATACAACTCATTATACACCCATTCATCTTACCAGTCGTCCTCAGCAAAACTACCATCCTCAGCCTCAGGGAAGTGGCTGTTGGAGAAAAGATTTAGCTTGTTGACAAAGACGATTGTTAACATGTGTGAATGAACACACGCCGGGATTGGGTTATGGGTGGATTATGAGTTGGAGGTGTAATGATGTGGTCGGATGCCGGGATAGGCTGAGGTGTTGTAGTTAGTTTGATATCAATGATAATAGCAGATCCTCTAACCATTTATACATACTCTCATGTCTGTATGCTAGGAACTGGTTAGCTTAGCACAAAGACTAGAAACAGATGGAAACAAGCTGAGTTTCAAATCGCACGCTTACATATTATTGAGGCATGACTAGGTATGACGTATGAGTATGTATTGAATCCTGACTGCATAGTATGTGAATTTTATGTATGCAAGAATTTTTGAATGTATACAAGATTAGCAAGAACTTCTGAGTATGAGCTTTCTAAACTTACTAATTATCCAACAGTGGACTGGGAGGCAGACAGTTTTAATAGATTGAAAGAGATTGAATATTTACAAATGGTGACCAGTGACTTGATGATAGAGTTAAGAGGAAAAATGTAATAGAGAAAACATGGACATCGTAAAAAATATTTAATAACTTAAGTTTGCCTCAAAATAATACTGGAAAGTATTTAATTGAGTGGAAGAGGTAACTGAATTACTAATAATTTTGTATTCAACGGTAGCTGGAACTGGTAAGGTCTTGATCCATGCAGTCGTGATACAGATGCGCCATGCGGCTCGAGTTCACTTCATTGTGAATGGTTTCCTGGTTATGGCAGACTTGATTATTAATTTAGTAAGCAGTATGAAGTAGAAACAGATTGAGTATGTAGTTTGCAGCATGGTTGTATGCAGTACTTTAAAATAAGATTTCAGAAAATAGCCTCAAGTGTAAAATACTCCTGTAAAAAATGTCAAAACAACAGCCAGAATAAACTAGAGGAAATGAATGAATATTTGGGAAAAATCATATTATAGTAGAATAGTAAGCTTCCCTCTTCCCTTCATCATCAGGCCACACAGGAGCTACAGCTGCATGAATGTGAGAATACTGTGTTTAATGTCAAGGCCACCAATAACACTGCTATAAAAAAAGGGCATGTTTGAAAGTAAATGTGGTCAGAGTGCACACTGCTCTAAAATGAGGCAACACATTATTTTGACATCTCTGTTCTGGCAGACTAGCTGCAGTGCAGCATTTCGTTAACTGTAAGGAGTGGACGGACCAGGCGATGTGCTCCGCTGAACATTACGGCTCTCCTTTTCATTCCAACTCGCTTTGATTCATGCTGTGAGCCTGTTCACTCCTGTACCTTCAGCAAGGCAACATTTAGGTTGTGTGAATCACCAAAAAAAACATCAGTCTGCGTACGGCCTGCACAGTATTAAACATAAGAATCAACTGCATCCAATGAATAGATTTAACTTGGTTTATTTACCACAACCACTGTAAACATATTTTTCTGAGGTTTGTCACTTGAGTACTTTTTTTAAATCAATAAACTTTATTAACTGACAAACTAATCTAATCTAATCTTCTGCGAGCCTCTCTAACCTAAACGGTATCTCTACTTGGATTTTAGTCTTCGAGCCAGTGGAATTAATTAAAGTTTACACCCTTGGGGTTTGCTTTATTAATTACAGCAGCACTTCATTTTGTGGTGAGGAACACATGCAGGCGGCAGTGTCGGGGGGGCTTTGTGCGTGTGTTGCCGTCATATTACAAGTCATGCCACAAAATAAGTGGCACGTGCCTTTGTTTTGTATTCATTTTAACTCAAATGATATTTTTGGGGCAAAACGATATCCTACTATCATTGAAGTAAAGTCATGTCATTTTAAATCTGTCCTAAATAAATGTAGAAGCATTGCAGTGCATTCATCCTAGAGGTAGAGCTGTTACTGATATGAGAATTAAGGGATGAACGAAGCAAGAACTCCCAACTTTCATAAGTGACATATTTCACGATTAACCTCAGGCAAGCAGACAAGTGCCTTTCGTCAAGTCGAACATCTAAGTGTGCAAACAGAATCAAGCACGCCAAGCTGTTACATACAACACTCATTAATTCACTGTAAGTGTATATCATTAAATATATGTCCGATAAACTGTAAAGCCAAGACCTAATTAAGAACTTACAGAAATAGCGTTGTTTTGGGAACAATGACCCCGCTCACTACAATTATAAATAAGAATATAAATATGATTTTTGGAATAACACCGTTTCAATTGTAATGGTCTCTAATATACTGATTGGTAATAATATGTCATGATTATGGCAGGCAGTGGCTCAGTCAGTAGGGGTTTGGACTGGGAGCCGTAGGGTCGCCGGTTCAAGTCCCTGGGTAGGTCCCAGTTCACCTCCTGCCCTGCCGTGGTGCCCTTGAGCAAGTCACCAGACATCCCCCTTCCCCCCTCACTCCCATTGCTCCCCGGGCACTGTACAATAGCTGCTCCTAGTACTAGACTCCTGGTACTAGGATGGGTTAAATGCAGAGAACAAATGTCACTGTGTGTGCTGTGTGACCATTTAAGAGGGTTTCATCCCTCCCATTCTATGAAGAGAATGACAACTGAATAAAATCAACATTTAGAAATTCTGAAACAGTTTTTTTGAAGACTAAAGTTAAAAATCATAATGAAATTCCAACTCAAACCTGCAAACATGAACATGCCAAGAAACGAATTTGTATATATTCTACGAAGGAAGAGTTAAGTTAATGAAAGCAACTGAATGTATTACATATTAACTGTGGACAGTTTTTGTATCTTACAGTTCCAACTCCAGTTTTCATTAAACCTAGAGAAGGAAGAGGCCAAAATATAGCATCGTCAAAAGGCTCGTCTCATTAGAACCTGCCTTTTTCTCTGCTGCTATGAAACACTCATCCATATTTATCAGTTACATAAGAGGGAGTCCTCGTTTCAAAACATCTCTACTTGGGTGAAGGAGAGAGAGACTGCTGCCTAACTTCAATCTTTGCTGAAAAGGAGTGTCTGGAGTGTGTTGGCCCAATAAAATACCCATTAAAAAAGGCATGAAAAAAGAAACATGGAAAGGAAACAAACAACTCGATACCAAAAATAAGAGCACAGCCTTGGTTCAACAGCAATAGTTTAAAAAAAGAAAGAGATGTCGGCAATACGTTTTCACGAACATTATTCCTACTTAAAATGACTTGTATTTGATCCTTGGATTGACAATGAGAAGTTTAGAATAGCAATCATACCATAATGAGAGCTTTGTCACAGAGAACTCCAGATAAGATTCCCCCATTTGTCCTTCAGCCTGCACTTCATCAATCAAGCTTTTAATTGAATCCTAATGGGATTAATCATGTACTGTCACGCCAGCACTTGCTTTGGTTCTGTGAAGATCTGCTCTCCCACTTGTTTTGCATCCACTGAGACTAATTATCCTAGTACTGAAATACAATGAGAGTATTTCCAAGGGAGAAATAATACCTTAAGGTCTGATTTAGTGAAATGTTTAAAAGTAATAGAATATGGATTTACGTCAGTGGAGCTGAGGGAAAAAGTGAATTTGGTTTAATTCTTATTTTTAGGGCTGTACCCGAATATTCAACTATTCGAATATTCGTTCGTTGACCAACAATTCGGGTTTCAATTTCATTATTCGGATATTCGTTTTTTATTTTATTTTTCTAAATGTATGCTATTAATAAAGGCGAATTGCCATATTCTTATACTATATTTATACTTTTGAATTGCACTGTTAAAATGCGGAAATATATACAATCTCAGCCTGTGATCCTGACATCGCGTTCACTCACAGTCACGAACGCAAACGGCACGCTTCACCTCGCTTCACCTCGTTTCACCCACAAAATGCCGAAGACTTCAGCTGTGTGGGACCATTTTAAATTGGACGACGGTAAGAAGACTATGTGCCAAATATGCGATAAGAAACTGGCCTACCACGGTGGCACAACAACTCTGAAAAGTCACCTGGATGCTGTAAGTAGTAGCCTAGCTTAGCTTAGCTGTTGTCAAGTTGCCACGATGAAGCTGCTTTATCCGCCGTTTAAACAGTAACTTTACACATGATAAAAACGTGCACTTACTTTGCTTGGAATATAGTTGCAAGCAAGCAACCGAATTGTTTTTTCATATTAGTTTTTTTAATTGTATCCGAATAGTGAAAATAATAGGAGTAATGTGGGAACATCTGGGGCTAAGGCATTATTGGCATAAAGTTGAGTAGCTCAGCCTAATAATAACTTGTGTCCATAGCCATCATCATCCTCAACAATACAGCAGACCCTACAGTTACCCTACAGAGGACACATTTAGTTTTAATGTTTGCGAGTACTGAGACAATAAATAAATATAAATCGTAATAGTATGCTCTTTCTGCGCTTCTGCTTAACAGCGTGTTGTCAGGTGTCTCGGGTTCGGAGCGTGTTATGAAACCTTTTTGAAAAAAATATCTTTTTGAAAAAAATGTTATTAAAAAAAAATACATATCTCTCCGCACCGAATATTCGCTGCTGATTACTACCGAATATCCGGAGCCCGAAAAATGGTATTCAGGACAGCCCTACTTATTTTTAGGAGATACTGTAAGCGGCTGTTCTTGTTTCTCACGTCCGTCAAGAGTTCCAGTTCTGTAGGGAAAATGCTTTAACATACAGCCAGTTTTCACAACCACCTCCAACGTGACAAACAATGGACGAAACCCTACGTAGGAGAGAGTAAAGTGCCTTCGCTTCCAAATGTCTGTCCGCCTGTTATTTATAGTTTATGTTGAGAGGAGCACTGATGCAGCTGCTAATGAGAAGGAAAGGGAGGAGAGAGAGACGCCAGCTGCACTGTGATGCACAGTCGGCGTTTAATGAAGGTGATGGGAGAGGCAAGGAATAATCAAAAAGCGAAGAAAGGGGAACGTACCCATAGGCCACACCGGCGACGGTGCACTTCTTGAACTGCATCACGTTGCAGGTCAGGGTCCCCGTCTTGTCAGTGAAAATGTATTTCACCTGTATGGGTAAAAAGAGAGAATACAACTTAATTTATTTCCTTCTAAAAAGGTATTTATAGTGAGAATTGGCATAAAGTGAAGTATTATTTGAGCAGCATAGTGTACCTGGCCTAGTTCTTCATTCAGGTTAGAGGTGCGAGCCTGGGCCGGTGTGTTGGTGGGCTCATAAAGCATATCGGTGTCCTTAGAGCAAATCACAAAGACATTGAAATGCACAGTAGCAGTACAGTACATAAAAGCAGACATTTTTTTAAAAACAGCAACAGTCCCCACAATCTGTTTTCCCCTGCAGAAAATGCAAGAACTGCCCTTAATGTTGCCAAGAAATTCCTTGCTATGACTTTAATTTAACATTTAATGAATAAAGGAGACCCAAAATAACTTTGTGCAAAAAAAAAACCTCAGCAGATATATTTGGTGGGCTGACCTAGTTGCGAAAGATATAAGACCAAAGATATTCTAGGTGCTCACTCAGATGTTTCACGTCAGTCAGGTTTCAGAGTGTTCCTGCTTTTGTGCATGCTGCTTACAAAAGTGACTTTTTAATGCATGCCTCTATGTTTGCATGAATGTTAACATAGACATGCCTGTAAACATGTGAGTGCTTCTATATGATAGTTTACTTAAGTTACAATACAGACTATAGCTTTAACTCACCCAGTTGATGAAAAAGGCTTGGATGAACTTGATAACCTCCAGTGTGACCAGGAGACTGATGGGAATCAGGTTGTTGAAGAGGATGATAAAGGTGAGGAAGTTAAGGCCAAAGTTAGCCGCTCCGCCATCTATCAAAGGACGAGTTTTGGACAAAGGGAAGTGATACACGGGAGACTCATCAGTGCTGGTCCATTCATATCAGTTAGTTCAATGAAAAGGCCCAAAGCTACTTCCAGCCAATGATCGACATTATCCCAATCCACAGAATGTTTCGGGCTAACATCGTGCATTAGCTGGAATTAGCCATTTCTTCCACCCAACCTCATCTTCTTACGACTCGACCGAATAACAGTCCAATTTAATGTCCTGAAGATTCAAAGTAGCGTACAGGGATTGAAGTATTTCTAATGTCATTAGTGTCACAGCAGCAGCCTTGGCATCCAGCATGATCCAGGCAATGAATTCCACAAAGCACTATGCAAAATGATGCTGGTCCCCCCCAATGCCCCAAACAATTGGCAATGATCAACATGTAACCCCACTGACATCAAACATGAAAACAGGAGGGATGTGATTTACCTTTCCTCAGCTTGCAGGAGGTGCAAATGTTACTTTCCTCAACCCAAGCCTTGATCTTAGCAATGTGGTTGAGAGGGACAGCCCTTCCCCATGACAGAACGATTGCAAAACAAAAAACTGGATGGCAGAATGGAAGCTACTGCTACTGGTACAACGACACACATAGGAGGGAGTACTTTTTCAGAAGTGGGGAGGAAGACAAACATATTGGATGCTCTCAAGACAAAGGAGGGAGATTCAGTCCATAGCACATTCTCAACCAACAAGGAGTGGAAAAGAGGGGGTGGATTATGCCAGCAAAAAAGTTTGGGTGTTAATGAAGATCACTACGTCACCTCCTGTCGCTAAATTCTAGTAGCCAGCTTGTTATTTGATGTTAGGCAAGATTTGTGAGGTCAGATGAGACAGGGATACTGCGTGGGATCAGTAGAGAGCCATTAAGATAAATAGAAATCAAAGCAAACCAGGACATGCACAAGTCACAAAAGTGCAAAAGTGCACCTGATGTCGTCTCTTAAATATATGTCACTGTAATGTAAGAGCAAAATGAATATATAAGATTTTCTAACCAACATTACAATACTTTTGTAACTAATTCACAGTACCGTAGTTTGGACTGTAAATTGTTATGGTTTCATTAACCGGGAAGAATTTGTTTTCTGTTTGGTGTGACACATGTACATTACAGTGAGAATACCACACCACCTCAACAAAAGAAACGTTACCATGCCGTCGGTTGAGACATCAGCAGTTTAAAACAGAGATAGTCAGCATAAAGTCAATGATATGGTGATAAATGCACAACTACCTAGAAAAAACTGTAGCAGGTGGCACGAATGCATAACAAATGAACATTCATCATTTTTGCCCTCAATCTGCATGGAGTTTAGTTGTCACTATGTATAGGCTTAATGCCGGGGATGACCTGTGTCAGCACTCTGCAGCGGGTCAAAGTCAAATGAATTACTCACGGGGCGTGCATAATCGCAGGCCTGTGTGACATACAAGCTTGGTGACGCGCAGCGGGCTAACGTTGACTCTTCTGTTCCTGTCTGCTTCCAAATGTTGGTAAGTGAGTGAAATTAGAGCAATTTAGTGATTAAAGTAAATATGATGTTTAAGATTTGACAATCTCCCCACCTCTCTCTTTTGTCACTGGTTGGATAATGTGCACTGGACAGAGTCTCAACAACTCCTTATGGAAGTACAATCAGTCTCAAGATGGAGGCCTGCCTTATGACTTACACTCCCCTCATCAGAGTCTTAGAGGGAGTTTAAGATGTGGGTTTTAATGCCACTGAGGACAATGTTAAAACCCTTTACGAGACCAATAGAAGCCAATGCAACATTCCGTAGAAAGGGACAGTGTAAGTCGTAGTGCAAGCTGAAATTGACCAGGGCACAACCTCTCCTACACAGGCCTATCGGGGTACAGAGTAATGGCCAGAGTGTCACGATAAGCACTTTGCACACCAGGTTCAGAGCTTCACCACAACAGACATACTGCAACAGAAACCGAGCAGCCCATGTATTTAGTTTTGTGTAAATAGTATCTTGAAATTGTATGGAATTGTCTGGCGAATTCATGTTAAACTAAACAGGTTTTCACCTCTCCGCCTCACTCTCCCTCTCTGTCTGTCTGTCTGTCATTAGAAAACTCCACACAAGAAAAGGCAGCGACAGAGGCATTTAGAAAATGTCAGCTCTTGCCCCTTGGGTTGCACCACATGATGTGTTCGAGCAATAAACACGTATAAGCCTCCTGCTAGGAAAAGCTTCCCGAGTACCTCATCTCCCTGGCAGTAAAAGTAAATGTTGCTATTCATTTCTCGGAAATTAAGGGGGAAAAAAAATAAGATGAGGGTCTGAAGCTTGGAAACTGCAAAGTGTTTAACGTGGCACAAAAGAATGGAGGAAAAGTGAGACACTGTTTGCATCAGGCACTGAAAATAACTAGACGAAGGTATAAGAGAGCTGGAGGGGAAAAACCTATTGTTGGATCCCTGGTATGTGCTTGTCCGTGGCATGGGCCCATACAAAGTAGGGCAACCATATAGGGGGCGAGGGTAGGGGGCTTCATTTGCTTAGCAAAGGCAGAGCTTCAGTAAGGGGTTAGTAAGGGAGGGTCATTCACGGATGGCCAAGGCTTTTAAATGGTTGTTACCTGGAGCTGTTAAAAAAACGACAACAAAGAAAACAACAAAATCAAACAGAACATTAGAAAGGAACAAAAAAGTACAGCAGCGCAGTGATATTCAACCATTTCTGTTTTCACTCATTCACAACACATCTATGCATGTCACAGCTGTCTTTTCTCAGTTAACAGGGAATTCACTTATTCCCCACATTGCCACATATTTCACTTGTAATGCGAAACATAGTTTAACTGAGGCAACATAAAAACGACACAACACATACCAGCATTTAGGAACTTAAAATGACAAAGGAATAAGCTGATATGGACAAGTGAGACAAATTATGTGGAGTAAGAGCAGCAGCGTGGGCTGTGGAGACTCTTACAGTTGAGATCCATGTACCAGGCATCGTTGCCGTACTGGTACTTCCAGATGGTCTGGCCGATGGAGCAGAGCAGAGAGATGGCCAGCAGGCAGCCGAACAGCACCAGGATCTGGAAGTTGGTGATACGCTCCACGTTGGACAGCTTCAGAGGAGGCCGAGTGGAATTCTGGGTAATATATGACAATTGAGTTATGTTAAAAGAATATCATAATAATTAAGAAGTAAAACCGATGGTGATGTTCTCTACATCGGCTTTCAAAACAACGCGAGATAAAGTGAGGTAAGGTGACCGCTTTTAACACAGTGATTAGGAACATGACATTTTTGGTGGTGACGCACATGCATTGTAGCGTGGTTTTTAAGTATTTATTTGCACAAAATAAGTAAGTCCGCACCAAAATGATGAACAATGAATAACATTAAGAATACAGCAGTTCACCAGACTGAGCTTTGTCAGGTTAATTCATCTTTAACCCTAATATGACCCTCACAAAGCTTTACAGTACCTGCATGAGCTTGGTGTCATGTCCGGTGTAGACCACCACACCGTGCACCCACTGAGTGTTCCTCAGCTGGGCTCCTCTCAGTAAGATCTGGTCTGGACCCAGTGGGATTGTACTGCAGTAAAGAAACACAGCATTGTCATTAGTACACAGAGAAATAAGCTCATACAAGTTGGTCTGATGGTAAAGACATTAATAATGACAATTCATTATCTTATTTTTGCAAGACAACAAACAACAAGCCTTCCAATATGACCTTAAATCAATGAGTGCTGACCTTACATACGATCACTGCTTTTACATAAACCTTTCTGAATCCTTACTGATGAATATGCCATTTCTAAAAAATAATAAAAATTGTATCACCAAAGAATCTATACTGACAGATATTACACAACAACGTGTGTTGTGATGCTGTGAAAGACTTGTTATTGTCCATTATATTTATAGACACAGTCAGCATTACAAATGTGTCACCCAATTACAATTAAAATGCATTTTCTCATTTAGAGTATAACTCTTAATTATACATTTGAATCTGTGTGTACATGTAGTAATTGGAAAAAAGTATTTGAAAAAGATTTCCAATCAATATGAAAACACAGCTCATCAAAGGATACACAAAGTGCTCCTGGTAACAATGCCCTTTCAGAAAAGTGTCCCAAACTCCTTGAATGGAGCCATCAATAATAAAAGCAGGCATACAGCAAATTACTCATTTTCAGTACAATGGAAAATCCTCAAAATAAATATCTCACTACATTACACTGAGGCAGGTGCTTTCATTTGTTTAGCAGACATACTAAAGAATCCCTTAAACCTCATAATGCGCGCTCTGCTCCTGGCTAATGGTTTATTGAGTTGGTAAGAGGGGCAGAGAGCCAGGCATGGAGCTCTGCGACTGGGCCCACCTGTGTCCTTCGAGGCGGAGGTTCCCAACAAACTCGTACAGATGACGGTTCGGGCTCTCACACTCCATTTTCCCAGAGAGACGCATCAGGCTTTCAATGTCCCGTATGTCTGAGGTCACTCGGAGACCCTGTTGAAGTAATTAGAGCAGTGTTTTCATTTTTAATCAATGTGTGTATCGTTAACTTCTCAGAATATAACACTTCTTCCTCATTGTAGGGGCAGTAACTTGTATGAGAAATAAGAAAATAGACAATCACCTGTCGGATTTTAAGGTTTGTTTCTCCATCCAGGTTAGATGTTTCAATGTAGCACATTCCCTGTGGTTCACTGTAGAGGAGGGAGAGGATATAGACACTTGGAGTAGTGATACAAGATGAGTGCTGCTATTTATTCAAATATTACAATATATCTATCCTTAGCTGTTCAAAATGATCTATATAATATTGTATCAATATAATAAACTACTGATTATTTAACAATCATAACTTCTCACTTTCACTTTTAATTTCAGCTGAATTTCAACAGAATATTTATATAAGACTAGATTACTGCAAGCAAAGATGCTGCATGTCAGCCTGAAGGCCACTCAGGTACAAAAAGCAGAAGTTACCCACTTAATGTACACTAAATACAAGATTAAAGAAATGATTAGCTGCTACCCTAGAGGTGAACCGTCTTAAATACACTGCTAAGGGACAGGAAGAGGGGACGGTGCCAGAGGAGGGATTTGTCAGCGAGGAAGCATGCCGAGCACAACAAATGGCCTCTGACAGACTCTGGGCACGGGGACAGAGAGGGAGAGCATAACGGTGCTTAAGGTGAGCTGGGCCTCTGGTTAGCTGCTCTCTTTATAGAGTGATTTATTCATACCCAAGGCTGGTCCAAACACAAGCAGGGTGAAAAGGAAAAGGAAAAGGAGATCTGGACACTGAAGCCCTACTGCAGTCAATAAGAGGTTTGGAATCAGGCCCTATTACCCATGAAACGAGAGCTTTGTTTCATGTAAATGAGCAGAAGTCTGAAGCCATGGCCAGGAAATGAATTATAAATCTACTTTGAATTCAAAGACTATTTTCAACTTCATATCTTGTAAAGTGACAACATGCATACTGTCACATGAGAACACAAAATGACTTTGTTGCATGCAGGGTGCCATACAAGCCATGCAAAGGGTAAGAATGTGGAAAATCTGTTCACACTCAATAAAAAGGATGTGAAAAAAGGATGTGAAAAAAGGAGCATGAACTTCTGTGTCGTAATACTAGAGGTCTCCATTCACTCTGAGCACACACATTAAAAAGGGTCTACTGTGGTTGGGTCTTTTAAGAATACAACATAATAAAATGGCTATATAAACCAACACTAGTATGGCTGCCAAACCACGATGTAGAGGAAAAGTAGAAACAAGGGAAGGAACACTCATTGACTGTGGCACTGTGACAATATCTGGTTGTTGCCAGAATGACAACGGGTTCTTTCTTTCCTCTAGTCTGTAAAATAAAGTGTATTTTATAGAGAGAAGCGCGAAGATGTCTCGTCACACTTGGTACACACACTCCCCATCTCTCCCATGACTGTGAATGTTGTGAATGTTGCTGGTTTTCTGACCTGGACGACAGTATGACGAGGTCAGCCGGCAGGTGATCCCCGTTTGAAGCTCTGAGTACTTCCCCAACGGCCACCTGATTTGACCAACCACGCACCAGCAGGGGGCGAGAGAGGAGGTGGGGCAGTTGTTCCACAGGGGNGGGGGGGGGGGGTAAGAAAGAAAGAAAGATATCTTAAGAAATTTACATTTGACATTCTCTTAAAGAGGGATAAAGAATCGATGTTAGTTTAATAGCAGGACCAAATCTTTTTTTGAAAAGGTGAAGGAGGTAGGTGTGTTGACATGTCTGATCCATCCTAATTCAATATCACATTACCAGCCTCCCACCTAGAGAAATTATGGTTGTCACAACAAGATACGAAAGTACAATTAGTGGAATGAAAAAGTTGTGTATAACGAAAGGTTCTGATTTTAGTTCCCATGCAGGATTGTAGACACTTGGCTCGTTTTATGGTCCAACCATCACTTCTTAAGGAAGAGCTGAGAGAGCAAGGGCAAGAGAAGAAGGGCGGAGTTTCCACAGTGTGGCATTAGGTTGGACTCCTATACCTGGACGACACATTGACAGCATCCGCAGGAACTAAATCACCGCCATTTACTTTAATAATATTGCCCACTTCAACCTGTGAAAATAAATTGGTTACTGCTGTGCACTGCCTATACAACTGCAAAAAACACACAGCTGGTGAGAGAAATGTAAGGCAGTGAACAAAGTACAAACACCGCAGGAGTCTTCTTTAAGTTAATGATCAACCTTGCATAACAGGTGCAAGCACTTAGCATACAACTACAGGCTCACCAATGCTATACAAGATGTCTGTTATATTCCTACATGTATAAGGTAACATTTAACATCTATTAACTATTAAGCGTCTTTGAGTTGTGAAAAGCGCTATATAAATAAAAAGTATTATTATTATTATGAAGAATTGTGCATGAACAATCTCAGATGAATGGCAGCAGTGACATGCTGAATAATGACATAACTGAAGATCAAAGAGAAGGACATCATAATGTGTTTTGTCAAAAATAAGTGAGCTTACGCAGGAAGGACCTGTGTAAAAAACTCATCTGAGTTATCATGTCACTCAAATCAAATTTACAATGCAAGTTTATAAAAGCAGGGAGTACAAACGTTATGAACAATAATTAAACATCTTGTTTTCTACAATGTAAAAATGTAATACAGCTGAAAAATAGGGTAACATGAAATCATCACTATCATCTAATAATGAATTATGATGTAGGTGTTTGTTGAAGACTAAACAGAAGAGAGATCATGTTGGCATCATTCAAGCTGCCCTGAAAGGAACTTGGAGAAGTTTGGGAGAGAAGCTGCTTTTACAATATGCATGATGAAGATGTAAAACACTTTCATTATTTAAAGCTACCCTTTTTAGAGAGTAGTTCTGTATATATAAAGACGAGGAACATTCACATTCCAGCAAGAAACTCCCTGATTTTCTCCTTGCATGAACCAAGTCAATGCATCAATACTTTATTGTGTTAGTTACAGAAACCCTGCGTCATTGCCTCTGATGCTAAAAAGTTCTATTTAAAACAGTTAAGATTCAATTACTGTAACAATGAATACCCCCTAAACCTCATTATGTAGCATTTATCATGGACTGCAGCCTATATCTCATTTGATTTTATTATAGCATGCTGAATTGTGTATTAAAGGGCCCATGTCATGCTTTTCTGGTTAGTACCCGTCCACTTGTGTTTTCTGTAGCTTTTTATGCATGTAAACGGTCTGCAGAGTCAAAAACCCTCAAAGTACACCCTGTAGCGAGTAAAACTCTAACACAGAAAAGACCTGTCTATGCTGCCCCAGAACGCCTCGTTGGAGATTTCTCTTTTTTCATTGTTTACTTCTTGGGTATAGTGACGTATTTCGGGTATAGTGACGTCCGCTGTTACGTTTGATGATCAGTAGAAACGGCCATGACATGGGACCTTTAATATGTGATGTAGTGCTCATGTTCTATTTTGTATTCATCTTGATGTATGACATATTTTTGCTTTTATAAAATAGTGCGATTTCCAGTCAAGCTTTGGAGCTAGCAACATGTTTACACAGACACCACATCTCCTGCTGTTCAGTTAGTTGTCAAGAACAAATCAACAAATGCTTCATGTAATGTTTTTTTTCTTTTTTCTGCTGTCTCATATCCTCGACAGCAGAAAGGGAAATGAATCTTATATTTCACTGCCACAGGCTGATTGCACCCTCTGGATGAAGCAATATTTCTGTAATGCCTGGTGTTTTTTTCCTTCTAAAATTATTTCATTATGGGGAGAACGAGGAAGCTTGTCTTTGTCCTCTAGCAACGCCTCCTAATCACAACGCCCACATGGGAACGAGGGGTTAATTGGCGGCTGGATATTAAAGGGGTCAGGGGGGAGGTGTTTGCACATGTGTGTGTACAGTATGTGTACACTCATTTTCTCTAATTGACAACAGCACACTAGATGGAAAATGTGCTCGAGATGAGAAACATGTGGGCTGGTGAAATTGACCATTAGTGACACATTGTGGGTAAATACCTTCTCCCAGTGCACGATCTCCCAGGCACCGTTCCTCAGAACTGTGGTGAGAAAAGAGAGAGAGAGAGAGAGAGAGAGAGAGAGAGAGAAAGAGAGAGAGAGAAAGTTACAGCAAGAGACAAAGAGGGCAAGGAAAATGAGAGGCATGGTCCAGTGAGAGATCAGATTTATGAAGGATTGAAGGAGAACTAGTAAACCAACAATACACAGGTTTTTATATTACATATATATATAAATATAAAAGAAGAAAATGTTTTCAATACCTTGACATTCCTTTCTGTTGACAATACCATCAGCATTGTGTCGTTTCTGTAAGGAAAAAAAACACAATTTATCCTCTAATATACATGAAATAAAAAAGCAACAACAAACATACAATTGAGCTGAAACAACAAGAAAATAATCAGAAAAAGACCAACAGCTTTATGTTAATAAAAGCCTCAACGTATCCACCTTTTAAAGAAGACAAGGCCTCTTTAAAGGCTGACACCACAGCACCACGTACTACGAAGTGGAAAGAGGAAGTCTAACGAAAAGTAACACTTCTCACTGACTGCCGAGTTATGTGAACACTCTTAGAAGGACTATACGGTCCATTTCCACAGACTCACATTATGCAGTAAAACATTTGAGTAATGCCGTTGTCCAATCACTCCTACAGTACCATGATAGCATGTCGTGGCCCAGCTAGAACCCCCAATCATCTTAAACATGTTCATGCCCTAATCTGCCCTTTATAACAAAAAATGGTATTCACTGTTGCTGTGCGATATTCAATTTATCAGATCTTTCACAGGAACAAACAGCATTCAATAATATGACATAATATATACAGTATATCTCAAAAGGCTCGCAACATGGTCAACAACAGGTCACCAAACTGAAAGAGCATTCATTTGCTGGAACCACATGCAAACATATGCGTGTGTGGAAAATGAAGTGGTCCTTGATCATAGCTGTCAACAACAATTTAAATGCAAAACATTATGATAAATATATTCAGGCCTTTCAGTCTGTTGGCCATTTTGAGATGTGTATATATAATGAGATGTTTATTAATGGTGTTTGTGCTGCAAGAAGGATTGATCAAAACTCTGCACAGCAACAGTCAACAAAAGGAGCCCAGCGATGTAGCTTTTTAACATGACACTTCAGCTTACAATGAAACTTCTTTCACTGCTGTAGATAAAGTTCAAATGGAACATCTACAATTCAACACAATGGAGCAAACTCCATCTGCGGATGAAGATCACGTGGTTAGATCAAAAGCCTCAGAATTGTTATTAAAATGGATCATGTGGTCTGATCATTTTTCCATTTAGCTTTACTGGACTACCAAATACATTAAGCTATTAAGTTACAGTTCATTTGAAAGATAAGGATGTTGCGGATGTGGAACTAATGCCAACAACTTTGGAAGGAGATGTGAATAAATGTGTGACTACATTTTATTCTCTTTGCTTTTTAAACACTGTTTTTAAATGTCAGTTTATAATGTGTTTCTGCTGCAATATTTCTTAATGCCTCTCATTTTTGTAAAGCATATTGAATTGCCTTGTGTTGAAAGGTGCTACTTTATACAAATACACTTGCCTTGCCTTACATGTCCTTTCTACCACACACTGCATAGAAAATATGTTCTTGTCATCCATAATTGTCTGTCAAGTGGTATATTCGATGTCCACGTAAATACTAACATCACCCTATAGGTGCTGTTTGAGACTTCATCTTAAAACTACTCAGCATAATGTCCCTCGCGTCTCTCTTGTTTGTTGAACGGTCATGCAATCAACTGTGACTCCAACAGCTGATTCCAAGGGACAGCTTGTCAACTAGCATCACGCTGAGTAATAATGTGTTGCTGAGTCCGTCTCATATAAATAATCACATGTGCTGCTGTACTTGATTAGTGAGGAGAGGACGTATCTACTCATGTCCGCGCTAATAATCTGTTTGCTTTGAAGATCCATTCAAATGTAGTCTAATTGTAAGGCAATTTGAGGCTAATGTGGGGAATTTGGCACACTGTGCTGTGCTTTTCAAGAGGGGAAAAAGTGTTCTTGTTGACTACTACAAAACAGAGCAGCTGAAGTGGGATGCATCAATACAAAGCTGTTACGGCTGGACGGCGAGGGGGGAAACAGGAAAACAAAGACAGATCTAGACAGGACAAAATAAAACACAGACAGATCGTGACACAAAGCTGTTAATGGAGCACTGTATTAACAGATTACTCCAAGGAGCTGTGGACTGTCACAAAAACATTAATGCCCACAACTTTGTAATATCTTCAACATTTCAAATTGCACACTGATTCAGTTGAATGCAATAATTGGTTTTCTGATCATGAAACACAATATATATATAAACAGTTTGTTCAATGGAGGCGCACACTGAATTAATCATCTAACAAGTGCATGTTTTTATTCCTAATCCCCCTTCTCCTGTTCTGTAGCTTATTCATTTCTTTTGATAACCCCCTCTCTTTCTGGGAAGTTGACATCAGTCCTTTCCTTAGAAGCCTTTTTCTTTTCCTACACCAGTAGATGATGTTGTTTCTTCAACACTCCTCTGAACTCCAGCCTACATTCCTGCATGCAGATGTCTTTGGCGATCATCTTGTTTCATTACATCATCATATCTGGAATCCTTCAATTTTGACCCAAAAATATGAAGCATTTAAAAAAAGGCGTGTTCTTTCCTGAACACACTGCTGTTAATGTTCCATTATTTGTGCTTCTCATGATGAATACAAACACAAGAAAAGACATCACTATACTCTATATATAACTTATATATATATATTATGAAATACTCTGATCCCTTAAGCTGTATCTGCTCTTTAGGATTTGTCCACTTTGAAGTCTCCTCTATAGATATTATACTTCATTTCCTCTCTGTCGTCCATTAACAGACTTCTTTTCAGGCTCCAGTTGGATCAAATGGTTCTTAGTATCCCTGCAGCATTCTGTAGCGTCTAATGAATTGTCTGGCTGCATCTGTGGCGTCAGACTTTTACCAGCTGCACTATGCCCAGAAAACAAGTTTGCTGGTAGAGACCTTTATAAAGCTCATTCATCATCTCCTGTCAGCTCATTTCATTCACCCGCACAATATCTCTTCTGGCGATATGGACCGTCCTCTATTCATAAATGTATAGTAAGAGAGAAATGTATTTATATACCTTACTCCACAACTTTTCCTGCCTCTCACATATTCCCTCTCTGCCTCTCTCGCACCTTCTGTCCCAATGGACAAGAAGAAAAGGCAGATGTGCTGTATTTAGATGATGGTGTAATCACAGTGCAGTGGAGGCGGGTGAGTAGCATGTAGAGGTTATGCGTAAATCCTGCAGTATAAGGCCTGTGTAGACTTCAGCTATAGAGGGGGAAATCAGAAAAGGCTCGAGCATCTGCAATGTTACCTTGATTAACCTGCTCATATGGCTTACTAATGTGACGCAGTAGTGGAAACTTAACTGCTGTTTTCATTTCAATTTGACTGGAAACTTAACAGCAGAGGCAGCCGGCAACAAGGTGAGATATGTGCTGTGCAGCGTGTGTCCATAGTGCATGATTCATGAAGTTAGGGGTCGATGTTGCCCTGTCAGGTCAACTTGTGAGGGACAGCGCAGTACAGGGAACAGACGTGTGCAGGTGACCTTCAGCAATACAGACGGAGTCATCACCGCTTTGTTCCAATGTTTTTCACAACAGGCCGAGAGAGAAAGTGCTGCGCTGGTTCCTTCAGCACGAGATGGAGGCTAATAGTATAGAGTAACAGCCCGCTGGGACCTGCATGTTTGATCGCATTACAGGGTCACTGCAATACAGTACGATGCAACGATGCCTCACTTAGTTTGAAAGGGCTTGAGTGGATTACTTGCCAACAGAGACACAAACATACTCTAACTTCCCAGCAATGAAGAATTCATACAATGTTACTGAAATCCCTCTATCGTGCTTAAATAAATTGCATAACCTATTTATTTTTTAAGCATCTGTTCAATAGTTCCGATATGCTCAAGGGCAGAGAGTTGTATTGTTTTGTTAGTAATAACTGCCTTTGTGCCTGAGCGTTCAGTATGTAGGTTAATTAACTGAATGAAAACTGCGGGTGCAGTTGGCACAGCTGTGACCTCGGAAATGTATGTGTGTGCGCCTCTCTCTGTGTGATAATGTGTCTATATGTTGGGGAGTTCCCTGCTGTGGTCATATAACCATCATGCCTCCTCTCTGCTGCAGCACTCAGAGGACAATCTGTACAGCGTGACACAAAGAGAAAGCCCTCACTCTCTAAAGAGGGACATCCATTCAACTGAGAACTAGTAACCTACTATCCTTATTAAGTAAAGTAATATAGGGATTTCTGCTCCAAGAAAGCCAGACTATTCAGTGGGCCATTCTTGAACAACTGCAGAACCTCAGGTATGTCCAGGACAACATTACATGTTTTTTATATAATGCCAATCAGCCTAAAGAGGGATCTTTCGACATGGGGAAACGCACACCAACACTAGTGTCTAATGATAAAAAATATATATATAAAACTAGTTTCGAATCATATCTGAGTTTTATCTTACCAGATCCTCAATGAACTCCTTCACAGCAGCCACCACCAGGATGAAGAGCAGCGGCACCAGTGTGGTCCAGCGACCAGTGGGAGACACATCTGGGATTTGCTACATGAAGAAAAAAAAGTGTTCAAAGGAAATAGTGTTCCCTTTCCCTCCTCAACAACATATTTAACCTGAATTACATGACAGGTCATACCAGCTTTTTTGGAAGTTTAACTTGAATTTAAGATTTAAAATGTATATGCAAACTCCAAATAGGTATATTTAGCAGCTTTCTCATTACTATTATAATGCCCCTCTCCCCAATGAATGTTTAATGATTTGGCTATTTTAAGTCTCTCAAAATGAACAGTTAAACATCAGCGTGATTAAAGCCGAGTGAGGGCCACAGGAGATCGTCACTGTTATACATCCCGAAGGAAAGTTGAAGGAGATAGATCTTTTGTCTCCCTCATCTGCATAGATGTTTTATTCAAGGTCGCAGCATCGACAAGGTAGGTAATGAAGATTCACACTGGCTGCTTTTCAAAGCAGCTTCTTCAAGGTCACTGGATAGAAACCTTTCCCATCTTCAAAGCTCTCATTAACAGAGGGTAGTCTTTCAACACGGATATAGGTAAAGACAGACTCTCAGTTCTATGCAGTGTTCCGTCTCCATTTTTTCGATCTTTTCTGCAAAGCTTTGAAAACACCTGAGACATGGATTTGAATCGTGTAGCAATGATTGGTGGTTATTCAGTGTTCTTAACAGGGATTAATGTTAAACCTACAGTGTGCAGGAAAACTACTGCAAACTTCCTCAAGGATAGGAAGTCTTTGTTGTGCTGGTATCAAATTAAAAACAGTGCCAAGATCTGTGGCTGCTTTTTGGAGAGTAATCAAATCACGAGCAGAGCCAACGATCAGCCTGACACTGAAGCTCTCTGCCCAAGACGGAGAGGCTTATTTCTTAAACAGAGGAAGACTTTCACATCACCCCTGCTTTTCCTTCCTTAGGCTCCACGTCAGTTTGACAATTGGAACTCGTTGTATTCTTTTTCTACTGCAGTGTATTGGTAATGGTACAGTGAGGGAATAAAATACGGTGCAGTGTCATCCACGGTACCCCATTCATTTCAAAGACATTATGTTATACATTATGTCAAGACATGTCAAAAACAAGTGTATCTTTCAATGTCATAGAAGCACACACAGTATTACATGTATTATTCATCATGAGGATATACAGCACATTTTCAAGATTTATTGTCATAACATTGAACAACTACGATGTAATTATGTAATGTATGAAAACTTAGATGGGAGGTTCCTCAACAGTGCAATTTTATAAAGTGCTCTGTGTGTGTGTGTGTCTGTGTGTGTGTGTGTGTGTGTGTGTGTGTGTGTGTGTGTGTGTGTGTGTGTGTGTGTGTGTATTAATGTACTTTCT